CACAGTTTTGAAATAAAAAATATATATTAAAATTTCAATTTATATTTTTTAAATATTATTTTTTAAAGATGGTAACAAATTTAATTAAGCTGCGGAATCATATTAATTATCATTAAATTTTATAAAATAAAACTTAAATGTAAGGGTAATACTCAAAAACTAACATTTAATAAGAAACTCACTAAATATATGGTATAGTAATGTTGATAATAATCAATTTAGAACAATTATCTTACTTCAAATTATGATCCACATTTTTTTAAAGAAAATACTATATATACATACATATATATATATATATATATAATATGTCAAGTTTCAAATTAAACCCTCTTCTCTCTTGACCTTTTATATATACACCCAAAAAAACTGTTGATCACATTAGAAATCTATCCATGTTTGAATGAGAGATGAAAAAAATTATTGGAGGTCTTAATTTATATTTTAAAGTTCTAATTATCATGTTGAAGATGATTACCAATTTAGTACTCTGTTGAGTGAGAGTTTAGCATTTGTTTTATACTTTAACAATCTTTAGCCGAAAGGGATATATCATATATCATATATCATATATCATATATCATATATCATATATATATATATATATATATATATAGGGAGAGGAGGGGTCAACTTACGTAATGTAATTTCTTTTAATTTTACACATTTTTTAATTATTAATTTTAATAAATTAAAAAGATGATATTAAACGATTTTTTTTCTATTTTTATTTGTCTCTCATCATTTAAATTTATTAAAATTAAGGGTTAAAAATATTTGTAAAATTAAAAAAGAATTACTTTGTAGAAGTTGATCCATCATATATAAATATATATATATGAGGAGCAATTTACACATGTAAAATTAAAAAAGTTTTATATATTTTTTAATTTTTGATTTTAATAGATTTAAGGGATAAAAAAATAAGGCAAAATTAGAAAAAAAATTATTTAATTTTATCTTTTGAATATATTAAAATAAATAATTAAAAAAAGTAAAACTAAAATATAATTATACTGTATAAATTAATCCTTCTCTCAGATATAGATATATATAACACCTTTTAATGCCTAGTGACAATATTAGGTTTTATGCATGTATCCCACCTTCTTGGCAATGCGCATCCATTTCATATATGATATAGATTTAGCTTTAGCTTAGGTCATGCTCCAAAAAGCTAAGTTCATCGACCCTAGTCTGATTCCGGCTCCGCACGTGAATTTTTTATGATATCGATAGTTATTAATATCTTTAATTTTTGCCAATAATTGCATAAATTATAATAACCAAAATATAAATTCAGATAACTTTTAAGGCAAAAAAAAAAAAAAAAACTTTAATTTCCTCTCTTTTTTTAATACACTAGATATTACTCAGCTATGTGAGGCCAAATTTCATTATTTTAAAACTTATTGGTACAGGACATAGGTTATATAAATGACATGTGATCATCTAGTCACACTCAATCCAATCATCCAAAAACTAACCAAAAGCCAGGATTTATGGTTGTCACAAATTTGAAAATTGCGCAAAGGCTCAAACTTCTGTTTTCAGTCTTTTTCTTTATTTATTTCGTGTTCTTCTCTTTGAACTCCACCACTACGTTGTTGCCTACACTCAATCTATCTTCAACTTTTTTGGCCCAGAAAGCAATTTCTGAAACCAGCTGTTGAGTTTGATTCACATGGCAATTCATCAGGACGTTATGGGTTTAATAAACCTTTCTATCTTCAATGGAGGCTCACTCTGCATGTCTAAAGAAATTTATATTTCTGCAAGGTGTCATTGTATTCTTCATATATATATATATATATATAAGTTTAGCATTTAAAAAGAAATTATCTATGATTATGCTAGTTGGTTGAAATGGTACTATTTGAATATTTCATTTGTAAGGTTTAAGTTTGAATCTTATCACTAACAAATTTTTTTATTGAGTAATCCAATGTAAATTTTCTTTGATACATGCGATTTTGTCCTAACGCTGGACTGGGGAAGCCTTTGTTCACCCTAAACTTTTTATGAAAAATATATATATATCTATAGCTAGTGGTAACATTTTGAACAATCAAAAAGAGGTTAAGGAAAAAAAAATTGGGGAATTAGTTCTACAACAACTTTATCTCTCTCCTTTTTCATGCCTTTTCTAGCTATAATTAGAAATTCTGATTTTTTTTTCCCTTGTTTCATTGGCAAGCAACTTGCAGTCTGATGTCTAAAGTTTTAACTTTTGTTTTTAATAAGGATTTATGATATCCTTTATAAAAGTTTTCAAAATTCAGCATGAAAAACTTTTCTTTATTGTCATGAAACCTCGTACTCAATGATTAATTTAATTAGTTCATAAAACTACTTTAAGAGATGATATCTAATAAATTTATGATATGTTTGATATATAAAATTATAATAAGATAAGATAAATAAGATAATATTATGAATAAGATATGATTAAATAATATTATCATATCTTGTATTTAATATATGCAAAAATTATAATAAGATAATTTATTTATTAGTCAAAATTATTCTTCATCAAAGTTTATATAATTTAAAATATTGATGTAATTTTTAAAGGTATAATAAGACATGTAAATTTAATTTCATGAATTAAAAATAATTATTTTCACTTTGAGAAGATTAAATCATCTTATCTTAAGAGGATGATTAATTTTTCTTATACTCTTATTAGTTTCTTTAAATACAAACCAAAAGTAATATAAAATTATTATTATCATATCCTATCTATCATCCTATTGACAAATACAATCTTAAAATTTAAATATCTTAACACTTAAAATTTTTTTCTTTTATACTTACATTACGATCTTTTTTTAAGAAAAAAATTAACATGAGAACCTCCATTTTAATATTGTCACTGTCACCATTACCATTTCTCTGGTTTTATATAAATCCAACCTTGACTAAATATGACAATATCATCCTTGTTAACTTACTGTATTTATGTTTAAAGTTTTGATCTTTAAGTTTCCAAGTAGAAAATTTTGTGACAACTTTGAACTTAGCCTAACAATTATTAAGACCTAAAAAGATTGAAATCTCCTTAAATCTATGAATTCATCATGAGCTTATATTTAAGCCCAATATCAAGGACTGGTGCAGCTTCCTCATTGATGGGTCGAATTAAATATCAGCTAAGCCCTAGGGTACTCATCAGTAAATTGTAATTAAGCCCATTAAATAGGTGCTTAAGAACCAACCAACAAAACCCAATGGTGAAATATCATACTCAAACCCGGCCCTTGAATGCCAACTGTGACTTGAGGTTGGGCTTTTTACAAGTTCATCCCAAACATTTGAAATAATAATATAGTAATTGTATATTGAGAAAGGATAAATGTGGTTAATAAAATAAAAAATATAAATATTTATGCTTACGAAATTTGAACAAAATAAATTTTCGCATTTATACAAGTATCAACAGATGTTTTATTTTAATGCAAATGGGAATGTATAAAAGAAATTAAATAATTGAGAAACATTTTTTGGTTTACCATTCAAATCATAGTCACGTATTCAAATTGAATCCAAAAAAAAAAAAAAAAAATTTAAAAAATTCAGCCTTATTAATATAAAGTCCTTCTAACCTAATGGTATAGGGTAGATCAAAAGTTTCACTTTTTGTTATTATGTCTTTAAATTAATTTTGTTTAAATGTGTCACTAAATGACATTATAAATGCATTTCATTAGTGAATTCTCCATCTACTAATTCATACCCACATCACTTTTTATTTTATTTGAAAAAGCTTACAAATCGCTTGTCAAATAAGCGACTGTGCAAGTTTTAAATCTGGATGCTTTTATATTTAATGATTAAGACCTTAAACCTTAATCACTTGTCAACTTTTATTAACCATGCCCATATCACTAAATAATACTAACTCCTCTTAAAAAAGAAACTCAACTTATCAAAATTGCTTATCTAAACAATAGATAAAATATAAGACTTATTTTTTTTAATGATTTTGAAAATGAAAATTTGAACTTAAAAGTTTTTGGGCGTATTATTATTTTATTTTTTAAAATATGATTGCAGTTTGAATTTTAAATATTTAATTTTAAAATTGGTTTCAATATTATTAAACAAATAATTTATTAATTTTTTTATAAAAAATACAACTCAAAGATAAAAAGTAATTACAAATAAACTTGATAATTTAAAATATAATATGATCATGCGATATAAATATGTTACGAAAATAATATAATTTAAAATTATAAAAATAATTATATATGAATTTAATAAAATAAAAAATTATATTTTATATTTTATATTAATTCGAATTATAACACTTAATTTTTATGTAAAATATGATATAAATATATAAATTTTAATATTTATATTATATAAATACATATATACGAATTATCAAAATTTAAAAGTGATTGGATTTTGTTTAAGTATACTCGGACATCTCTCTTAAAAAAAAAAAAAAAAACGTTTTTGAAGTTAAGCTGTATCACTAGAACTGCTTATAATTGGTTGCTGCTTCTTTTTTTTTTTTTACAAATTCATTTAAATCAATAAAAACATCAGAAGTCAAAGCATCCAATAAATTAAAAAACATCTTATCAAAATTTATAATCAACAAACAAAGATCAAACGTTTTTTTTTTCTTGTTTTTATTTTTTAGTTCATGCAAGCTCCATTCAACCTCCTAACAAAAGAAATCATTACATGCTAAAAAAAAAGTATGCTCCACTCATCAACCTCTTACCTCATCTCTCACCGTCCGATCACTTGACTTCTCAACCTCTTCAATCAAACGGTCCCAAAACTCACCAGAAGATATAAAGCCAGTGACAACAATGTCATTTCACAGGCCTTTACAATTCATAATCTCACGCTCCCCCAAAGTCACCCGCACCCTCCTCGAATTATACGGCGCTTCTTAACCCAATCAAAACTAACAGTCAAATAGAAAAAAGTCACCACATGTGACTTTATCATACACTTAAAAACTATAAAATAGAGAAAAAAAAAACTGAATTATTGAGAGAGAACTAGACAATAGAGCAAAGAGAGAGAGTTTTTTTTTTGTTTTTTTTAATTCAACTCAGTCATGTCAATCCTCTTATAAGAAATCTAAAAATCCCAAATTTCTCCTCCCAAGAGAGAGAGAGAGACAGAAGAAAAATTTTTATTTTTATATATTTTTTTTTAAGAAGGAGGAGAAAAATCGGCGTCTGTTTTTTGTTTTTTCTTCGGGCTATTATCAATGGTTGAATTATAGAATTCGGAACAATATTTCATTTTTTCCCCTTTCGAATTTAAGAAGGAATAAAAAGGAAAAAACTAACTGAAGATGCGATCTTAGATTTGATTCTGGGAGTGTGGTGAAATCTAGGCCGTTAGATTTTCCATTTTTCGATTGGTTATCAGACAGTGAAAAATACAGGCAGAGACAAACCAAAAAAGAGAGGGAGAGAAATGAGCGGAGGCGATGAGGTGGTCGCAGCTCCGGTGGGCCCGCCACAGCCGCTGGATTGGAAATTCTCTCAGGTATTTGGTGAACGAACCGCTGGAGAAGAAGTTCAAGAAGGTAAATTTTTATTCTTTTTGGATCCAATTGGTAATTTGTTGGTTCTATTGGAATTAGGGCTTATCTTGGTGTTTTGGATCTATTTGGGATCGTGAGTTATTGAATAATGGTTGTTAAGGTTAATGGGTATGAGAAAAAAGCTGTGACTTTTTTTTGGGGGTGCTTTTGGCTTTGATCTGGGAAAAATAGTGGGTTTGTTTCCAAATAATGCTTTGAATCATTTATGCGTAGTAGTTTCGTTAGAAAAAAAAAGTAGTGTGGAAGTGAACCTGATGAAGTTAGTGATGGTGCATGCACAAAAAATTGTGCCTTTTCTTTTCTTTTTCTTTTTTTGTAGTGTTGAATTAATGGCAGTGGTTTGGATCTTAATTATTTTTTATAGCTATTTTATTTGTTGTGGGGATTTTAAGTGAATGGCAATTGATTAATAGTATTTAGAATTGAATTGAAATTGGAATCTGCGTATCATCATTCTATTAGGATGGAGATAGACTATTTTTCAGGAGTTTATGTTACTTTAAGTCTTAACCCATGGGTGGATGACAACATTGAAGTGCCATGGCTTTCCTAGTTGTATGGTGGGGGTTAAAAAACAGCTACATTTTACAGATTCCTGGGTTTACTTGGTGATGGTTTATTTCAAATACGAATGGGTTATATTATGGAAAACTTCCTAGTAAATGGGACAGGCAGAAAGCAGGTTAGATTACGAGTGGAATGGTTTAAGAGTGTATGATGCTTCTATGGAAGATATAGCTTAGTGATTGGTAGATATTGGACCTTTTAGATACTCAGTTCAATTCATATTGTGCAGTTCAGTAAGTCAATAGTGAAACTTGGCTTAACAAGTTGAGTTCAATCCTTTATAAGGTGGGTAAACATCAAAATATGTGACTACTACTGAAACAGATGGACAGAGACTTAGTTGCTGATGAAAAAAATGATAGAACCAGCTTGGTGATGCTTGGTTTGATGACACTATAAGTACTCGCTAGATGATAAGAATGGAAAGTTTGAGGTAGAAACTTCAGACGATGGTTGGATGCTTACATTGATAACATCCTAATGAGCTAATGACTAAGAAAAGTAATGAGTCTGTGAAAGCTTGAAATAGAAATATGGAGAACAAGATATTAGGAAGTTGCCTAAGAACTAAGATGGCTCATTGATGTATGATAAAAACCAATAACTTTTAAGAACATAATGATTCAAGGAGCAATGAATTAAGAAGACATCTAAAGTGAATTCTCGATGATACTAAACAAGAGAGTTCCTTCTTTGTTGGAGGAAATAGCCATAATAGACCTTTTGATTTTGTCTTTAAGACTAATCAGTTTATATTGAAAGTCCTTTCTAGCTAATTATTGAAAAATAACTGAGAAAAGTATGGCTGTGATTATATGGCTTCTTTAATTGTGGATTTTTGGACAGAGATTAGGTGGAGAATTTGGATGTCTGGTATGGATGTCTTTTTGCTTCTAGAAAAGCTAGTTAGGTCAGATCTTGCTGCCTTTATGCATATCTTTACTAAGGATTTTGTCTTTGATGCAGTTTGCACGCATGAATAGCAGTATGCAAAGGTCATGCATGGCAATAAGTTCAGTTGGATTCAGTGAGATATGGATTTCTTTCAGAAACATTTGTGTTGGAATTGCTAATTATTTTCTGTAAACAATAACACAAAATTTAGCTAAATACTGCAAAATTTTATTTTGAGTTCTGGAAAGCATTAAATGATAGAGTCTCTGGCAAGGATTTTTTTGGAAAGGAACCATCTTGGACTTTGTGATACTCTTAGAGCTTGTCATTCACTGTGTAGTTGTTGTCTTTGTATTCATCTTGTCTCTTCAAATTAAGCTTGTTGTTGCTGCACTTTTTTCTTAAGATTGCCAGGTAATAGTGATGCAAGGGTGACAAGAATGTGCATTACAATGGCTGTGGATTATTCTTGGTAGAATATGTCAGATAATATTGTATCAAATTGTAACCTTTTCTATTTTTCTCCAAAAGAAAGATGTAGTGTAGAAAACAAAGATTATGTCAAGAGACTGAGAGTTGTAATTTATCAATAGAAAGAAAAAAAGATTTAGGCTTCTTCCCAAGCAATGCAGTTTCTATATAGAAAGCTAGATAATCTTGACAAAATTTTTCCATTACTCTTACTGGCAGTACAATTGTATTTTCTTAAGAATTTTTGTTTCCTCTTGCAGTTGATATTATTTCAGCAATTGAATTTGATAAAACTGGGGATCATCTTGCCACTGGTGACCGTGGGGGCCGTGTTGTTCTCTTTGAGAGGACAGATACAAAGGATGTGGGTTCTGCTACCTTCACTGATGTTAATGTATTACCTGAGTGTTTTTCTTGGATTGTAACTTTATAATAACTTATTTTACTACTATTTGTAGCCTGGTTTGTCAAGAAGGGATCTGGAGAGAATGGATTATCCAATTAGTCGGCATCCCGAGTTTCGTTACAAGACTGAGTTCCAGAGCCATGAGCCTGAGGTGCTCTATCATTGCTTTTGATGTAATAATACATGCACATTCGCACATGCACACATGCACAAAAACACCTATTTCCCACTGGGCTTGAATTTTTTGCTTTATATTTGTCTGGTTTTATTTTGTTATTATTATTTTTTTTCAGTTTGACTATCTCAAGAGCTTGGAAATAGAGGAAAAAATCAACAAAATCAGATGGTGCCAAACAGCCAATGGTGCCCTGTTTCTCCTTTCCACCAATGATAAAACCATCAAGTTTTGGAAGGTAGGAAGGAAATTTGTGCTATAAATCCATCTTAATTATATGTCTTTCAGTTTGATTGTAGATTGTCCATGTGAACACTTTGTTTGCAATAAGTAGTGGTTGGTATTTTAGTACATTCATGCATTTATAATGGAATGTGTTCTGTAAAACCACTGCCAATAGTAGTGGTGCATAGATAGAATGGTCAATAAAATACTTCCTATGAAATGGTTAGGCAACATGCTTGGTAATATTTCTCATTTTATTCGTCCATTCTTCTAACCATTTGTGTTAAGCATATTTCATTATTGATATTATGATTTGTGGATAGCTCTGTCCTTGCCATTTTACCCACTTATTTGTCTGCTATCTGGCTGAGGGTTCAACAGGTACAAGAAAAGAAGGTCAAGAAAATTTCTGACATGAATTTGGACCCATCAAAAACTGTAGGAAATGGGTGCATTGCTAGTTCAAGCAATTCAAGTTGCCCCAAACCTTGTCTTGCTAATGGAGGCTCCTCTGACAGATCCTGCAACTATTTTGGCAATGACTTTTCTTTCCCACCAGGAGGCCTTCCATCATTGCGTTTACCTGTGGTAGTTGTACTCTGCACAATCATTTTATTTTCTTGCCGTGATTAAGTTTTAGGCTAAAACTTAAATACTTTTTTAGCTATGTGAATTTTAATAGGCTCAAGGCTAGGGAGAATGATAAAAACATTTTAAAGCTTAATAGAATTTGCAAGGTAAGGTGATGAACTTCTTTGTAGCAGTAGATGCGTCCAAGGTGCAGTACTTCAACTAGGTATAGGACTTCCTCTCTGATGCCTAACTGAATAAGGGGCAAAGCCCATGATTCTCTGTCCCTTTTTTGGTGGTGAAGGTGCAGGAGATTGAATATTCAGCCTTTATGTTATCTTTTTGTGTCATTTCTTATAAACATGCACTTCTAGGTATTTATTTCAAATATACTGTTAGATTTAAGATTCTATCCTCTTATTTACTATGATCTAAGAATCTGCCACTTTCTGCTCTGTGTCTTTCGGGATGACTGGGCGTTGGCAACCATAAGTGGCACAAGTCCTTGGAAGACCACTTTGTTGTTCTGTCTCCTTTTCCTTTTTCTTTTTCTTTTTTTTTTTTTTGGGCTGGGGATTGGGGTTTGGGAGTGTTAGGATTTTGTTGAATAATCATGAACTTACTTTATTGTCTGGAGGCTTCTTGGTCTTTTGCTCCACAATAACCTTTAATCTTTACTATATCTAGGTAACAAGTCAGGAGACCAGCTTAGTGGCTAGATGTCGAAGAGTATATGCCCATGCTCATGATTACCACATCAATTCTATTTCAAATAACAGGTAGCTACTCTCTTTTATTTTTATTACAATTTTATTGTGCTTTGACTTCCTATATTTGGATTTATTTTAAAACCAATTGGAAAGAGGAAATATGATTTTTTTCCTGGATGATATATAGTTGAAACCATGCATCTTAGTTTTTTCTTCTCTAATGGAAGAAAAGCCATCATCACCTGAGACTTGAATGCCCTTATAATGAGTTTCAGTCTGATAATTGCTTAACCTCCATGTGTTGTATTTTTTGTTGATTTATTTAGTCCTTTGCAGTATCATTCTGAGGTGTCTCCTGAGAAAGTGATGTCATCTAGTTTTAGATTCTAGATTGGAGTAGAAAGTTAAACCCGACATTATTGTAGATTGTTATAATGTTTTGTCCAAGCAAGAAGCTGTAATTGTGAAATGATCTCTGAGGATGTTGTTCATGCTTTAGAAATGAAAGGCTAATTAATAATCTTGAGAAAACTGGAGAACTTCTAAACTACAGGATGTAAATGTTATGAATGCGTTTTCTTTGGGAATTATCTCTTTTTTAGGCCTCTGAACCATCACATTCTCATTTTGCATGAGAATGTGGTAAGTTGGCTCTTTCAACTGAACGTGCTTTATGCCATGTAACCCTTGAATCATTAGAGTTTTTAGCTCCTACTAAATATTTGAATCTAGAAGGAATCATCTTTTATTGCAGAATTATCTAGTACTTGTCTTGAATTTGGATTGTCTGCACTCCATGTTTTCTGTGCTTTTGTTATTCTTATTCATGTAATTTGTTTGGAGATCCTTATAGTGTTATTTAAGCCTCTTGACATTCAGGCTTGTCTGCAATTTATATTTTGTTGGATTATAGAAGTTATGCTGTTGTATGAGAAGCGTATGTGTGTTTGAATACACTTTTACACATTACTTTGCTTTTCATCATTAGCTTGATTTAACTGAATACTCTCTCTCTCTCTCTTATTTTTCCTAGTGATGGCGAAACTTTTATATCAGCTGATGATCTGCGTATAAATCTTTGGAACTTGGAAATTAGCAATCAAAGTTTCAATATTGTTGATGTAAAGCCTGCAAATATGGAGGATCTAACTGGTAAGCCTCTTAGTGTACTTTACCGTGCAGCTTTTAATACTTAAAGTATTTGCACCTTCAGTGCTGTTTAATAAATTCGTGAAAGTATGAAGCCACTGTCAATGACCCTTAAGGTTACTTGTTTGTCCGGAGATTGTTTTAATTTCCCTAGGTTTGTTCAACCATAATCTTTGTAGAGGGCTGAGCAATTGTTATGTCTATCTTTGCAGAGGTTATAACATCAGCAGAGTTTCACCCTACCCACTGTAATATGTTAGCATATAGTAGTTCAAAGGGCTCAATTCGCCTCATTGATTTGCGGCGGTCAGCTTTATGCGATTCTCACTCCAAATTGTAAGTGTTTTTCCTTTTTCCTTTCTTTTGCTGAATTTACTTACATTTCCACTTAAATAAATGCTATAGATCCTGATATGTGTGGGTATATGTGCTATTTGCTTTCAGTATCTTTTCAGAATAATGAGTGCTATTCTATGCCAACAGGTTTGAAGAACCAGAGGCACCTGGTTCCAGATCATTTTTTACAGAGATAATTGCCTCAATCTCAGATATTAAATTTGCAAAGGATGGAAGATATATACTTAGCCGTGATTACATGACTATTAAGGTTTTGACTTTGTTGCTTTTTTTTTTTTTTGGTTTGCTTTGTTTTCTTTTTTCTTCTTTTTGCTATTGATATATATATATATAATTATATTTTGCATTGCATGAGCATCACATTATGTATGCAATTTTCCTTAAGCATGCTGCAGTGACTTTATATGCCATTTAATCCCTACTTAATTATCTGTCAGCTTATTCAGTAAGACATTGAAAGATTTTATTGCAATTGTTATGATGTATTGTGCAGAAAGCATGAAGTCTAATGACTCTTCACTGCAAATATCTGTCTGATAAAGATTCTAGTTTGTAAACATTTAACACAAAGTAATTAAAATAGAAACAACAATTTGGTTTGTTTGCATCTTGGCTAGGATGCAGGCAGTCAAACAATTTTGTTTATCTTGTAGAGAGCTTATCATGAAGACGTGAAAAAGGTGGGGGTGAGGTTAAATGTTATGATAGCTTCTATTCGGTAATTGAGCATGAATACACAAGTTAAACAATTTAAAGTAAATTGCTGCTTGTGATTTCCTTCCCCTTCTCTATCTGAATCAATCACATGCCATTTTGTTTCTTTTTTTTTTTTTTTTAAATCTTTGAACACACTTCATGTGAATCCCTCAATATTATTATTTTCAAAAAATTATCTGGCTTCTTTTGTTAAAATATCTCCAAAGTTCCTACTTTCTTTCAGCTCTAGGACTTCCAATGGTGGTTTTAAACTTGATTATTTATCTTGTTCTTGATATCATGGGCATTTCTTGTTTCCTTGTTTCATGGGATCTTAGGACATGTCATCTAACTTGTTTAGATATCACTTGGTTGTCAGTTGTGGGATATCAATATGGATTCAGGTCCATTTGCAACATTCCAGGTTCATGAATATTTAAGACCCAAGGTAAGGTTTCTATCTTCTGAAAGAGATGAAATTAATCATATCCGGTTTCTTCTATGTCAGCTGATTATGGCATTCTTTAATTGTTTCAGCTGTGTGACTTGTATGAAAATGATTCAATCTTTGACAAATTTGAGTGTTGCCTAAGTGGTGATGGATTGCGAGTGGCAACAGGTTCCTACAGGTTTGTTTTTGTGCAAAAAAGTCTGTTAACAAACTTTTTTTTGTTGTTATTGTTGTTGTTGTTGTCATTATATTCTTCCATGTATCATAATATATATTTCACCTGTGATCACAGCAATCTATTCCGTGTATTTGGTTGTGCGCCTGGAAGCACTGAAGCGACAACTTTGGAAGCCAGTAAAAATCCAATAAGGTAAAATTCACTCAAGCAGAGTAAAAGATAAAGAGCGCTGTGAATTATGATTTCTGTAATGATGTTAGTTATAAACATCTATGTCTTTTCAGGAGACAAGTTCAGACTCCCTCAAGGCCTTCCAGATCCCTAAGCAGTATAACACGTGTTGTCAGACGAGGTAGTGATTGGTGTTCTTTGTTTCCTTTTAATTCCTGTTAACTTTTTATTAGTTTCTTGCTGGACTCCTTGGGCTGCAGTTGGAGGGAGTTAAATGAATTCTTTCAGTTCCTGATTCGTACTCAAAAGCTTTTATTTTGGTGAATGAATTTGTCATAACAGGAGCAGAAACCCCTGGAGTAGACGCAAATGGAAATTCTTTAGATTTCACAACAAAGTTGCTGCACCTAGCATGGCACCCAGCGGAAAACTCAATTGCCTGTGCTGCTGCAAACAGCTTATACATGTACTATGCATAAAGATGATCCAATAAGAAGTGTGTTTGCTTGGTTCACTTCTTTGGGTTGCTGATGGAAAAAGCTCCTTTTTCCTGCCAAATCAGTGAGTTAAAGGCTACATTTATTCTCACGCTTCCGGTGCACCTAAATTCCCTAGCACATGCTATAGTATAAGGTCGAGAAATGGCTGTCACAGATCCACGGGGAAGCAACCTGTCTTTGTTCCCGGGCGGGCAGCTTGATTTTCTTTTCCTCTTCGCTGTCTCTTACCAAACCCCAAAAATCCCTTTTGCCTCTTCTTTTCTTCCCTTTAACCCCTCCCCTATCTTCTTCTGAAATAGAAGATGGAGTAATGTTTCTAGATTAGTGTTGGGTTGAAGTTAGCACAAAATGTGATTGTAGCTCTCCTACAACAAAACTAAGGGATGTTCATTACCTGCCACTAGGTTTAAGGTAAATGTAGTTTTTGTTTTTTTTTTTGCTCAAAATCTTGGTGGGAAGGAGCTGTTGAAACTTGCAGTGCATCAATTTTTTTATTGATTCTTTTGTCATGTTTGGAATTTCAACCTCTAAGTCTAAGATAAATGTATTTTTTTTTTCTTCTCTTCTCAATTGATTTTTGTCACCAGGTTTGCCAAGTGACTTTTGAGTTTTGACTCCAAATACCAAACCTAAAAGATTTGTTGCAAATTACAACTAGGATGATGTTTCTCTTCTTGTTCCGCCCTTTAGTTTCCTTTATCTTTATTAATTTATCAAATCCTTTGGATAAAGCAATGTAGCTTGGATTGGGCTTGGACGCTAGGTAATATTTACAATTCTCTTTTCGTTACTATTATTGTCATATTATTATTGTAATTATCATAAATTGAAAAGTTTTAATTTCGTCCTCATTAAAATTCAATTATAAACCCACTTAAATTTGATTAGATTTAATAATTTATATTATTTACTAACTGAATTTTTTCTTCTTCCCCTGAGTACCCATTCGTAATTACAAGAGTTTCCTTGTCTTCTTCAGTTTTTATCTGAAAAAATGACGATTTGAAGCTCAAACACAAAAACACATTATTTTTTAAATTCAGAGTTTAATTCAGTTGATTAATGACGTAATTTTAAAGTTTAGTTTAGTTGATTCATTTCATGTAATCATCTGTGATATTTTTTGAAAAAAAAAAAAAAAAAAAAGGCTACCCTCCTGTATCGGGAAACTCCTTGTCAAGATGTTATCTGATGATTTTTTCTTGGGGGCTCGCAAAGAAATGGGTAGACGCGAATATCCAAAGCCTTATATGGATTATATGCAAAAATGACTTGATTACAATTTGAGTACTTCAAAAACAAAGTCTATAAGTAAATAATTAACCTTCTTTTTTCATGGCTTGGTATTAGTGAAAGTCAGACCTTCAAAATTCACACAGTTAACATTTTCTCCAGACAACTTGAAAGGCAATTTTCTTACATGTTGTTTCTTTGTTTCTTTTTCCAAATAAAAAAGTCTCGTAGGAATGACTGTCCTAATATTCCAATGCATTTGACTTGTTGATGCAATTGTGATTTTATTTAAAGGAAATTGCAGATGGCCTCAAAGTTTCATCTGTTGCAAACCAAGGCAGCTCAACTAAGAATGGAGGTTCCGACTACAAGGATTTGATGGAGCAAAACAAGTGATACATCCGGAAACCATCCAGTATTGAGACGTGTCAATTGTTAGCCAACCAATTTTTTTACTCCACTTGCCAGCTAGTTTCTTTTCTATGGCATATGTACAAAAATGGTCTGATTTCCTTCTCTTTGAGGGATTTACTTACAATCTAACTGGATATATCGAATTGGTTACAAGTGGATGATAAATTTTTAAAATCGGATTAACCTAATGGTTGTTCACCATTTTATGTCCTGCCTGCCTGCCTGATTTACATGCAGCATTCCTAGACGATACGAGGCATTCTCCAAAGAGCTTGACACAAACAAATTTTAAAGACCAAGGAGGCTTGGGGCTTTGAAAATGCTGGAATGGCTGCTCTGATTGGAGTTGAGTGCTTTGCCTGGGGAGATAATTGGAAGAGGATTTACACTTACAGGTTACAATGTTTAAAATTTTCCAATTCTAGTACCACCTCCATTTTTTTTTTTTGGGGTAACTTTATATCAATAATCTGCTATTACATGCAATAATTTTCATCTTCTTGAATTTTTGAAGCTGATGAGAAAGTCTGTCAGCTAGACATTACTAGCACAATAATTTTTTTGCAAATTTTAAGTGACCATTTTTGCTGCAAAAATATCTTCATCCACTCCTTTTCTAATTTGGGCTAAAGATTATATGCTTGTAAATCTGATTCCATCTTAATTTTTTTCCCAGGATATTAATTTTAGCAAAATTTTGGAAGCCAAGTGAAATTTTAGCTTCTTATATTGTTTTAAATGTTCACACTAGATGACAACTCTTAACATGCTGCCAAGTGCATTAAAGCTATCTTTAATGCATTGACTTGATTTATCAATAGAAAGCTTGAAAACATCATCTTTGAGAATCTACTAAAAAGAGAAAAAAGAGGTTATTATAGCCTATGGGCAACATCTAAATGCTTTTAATCCTGCACTTTAATTAATTTATATAATTATTTTTTAAAAATAATTTTTAATAATTTTTAATTTTAATATTTATAATTTATTTCTTTTTTTAATTTCACTTTCTTTTTACAAAAAATATACATTTGCATATCTGAATTTAAAAAATATTTTAAAAATAAAATTTTAAATGCATCAAATTAATGTAAACATAAAAAAGATACTCTTCAAAATCATCCAAAAAAATAAATTTAAACCCAAACAAAATTTGAGAATCCTTGATCTTGCTGTTAAAAAAACAATAACAATAAACCTATGGGCCACTTTTTTTTTTTGTTTGGGAGGGGGGGGGGTCAACATCAGATATAAAAGCCGAGAAAATGAGTGATCAGTTAATTTTTATCTGATTCTCCACCGAATTAATCCCTTTACAAAACACCAAGTCATGGATTAATTCAGTTTGGTTTGCATTGAAAACTCAGGATTTTTTTTTTCAAACTACTGCCTGTTTCAATCTCAAATGTCAATTTTTTCTTTTTTGCATTCCCATTAAAATTTTGAGTTAGTTACATTTTTAACCTTTTTAATTAAGAATTGCATCCTTGCATGTAGCTCAATTATTAATGTATAATCTCTCCTTTCCAATCATCCATTTTCCAAATCAACAATAAAGAATCGTTACATTGACTTTTTTTTTTTTGAAGGCTAATACACGTAATAATAAATTAATTAATTAATTAGTAATAAGAGTCTCAATTACAAAAATTTTGTAATTAGTTTTTTTAATGTAAATGAATATATGTTTTTAAAATTTTCATTTATTTTTAAAATTTTGTATTTTATTATTTATCTGATTAAAAAAATATAATGTATATAAATTTTTTTAAATTCATAATATTCAAGCGTTAACTTTAATAATATATTAATTGATTCAAAAAATTAATTTATATGTAAATAAATATTCTTATGTAAGTTCCTTGGATTGAAGATTATTTTTAGAGGTTTACAATTATTTATTTCCTCTTTATTACTATTTTGATAATATATAATATGGGTTATTCAATGAGAGTTTATAATTTTTATTTGAAGAAAAGAAAATTTCGAACTTAGTCTTTTTAATAAAAAGATAGTATATTTATTATTGAATAAAATATTTTAACGTATTTATAAATTATATGTTAATTTATTAATTCTTTTAATTATAAAATTTAATAAGCACGTGATAACCTTATATAAATCGTTTCGTGAAATTTTTAAGTCACAAAGCCTTTAAAAAATATAAATAAAATCAATAATAAACGAGCGGTCAATCCGGACGAAAGGCGCACGCCAGTGTTGCATGCGGGAAAGACATGGACAAGACGCTTTATTGTAAGGCTTAGGAACACACTCTCTCTTTGTGGGCCTAATGGGGGCCTAATGGGCCTCACCCATCATTTTTCATGGGCCCTACTGCCCATCATCCCTCTCGTGCTACGATACCTTTTCCAAAGATCATTTTCTACACTCACTTTCTTGATGCAATCTTATCCGTCCACGTCTCCATTCCCAGAATCATAGCCGTTCAATATTTTGAGATGGGCCCTAGTCATAATCCTTGAATTTACCTTAATAGTCTTTTATTTTCGGCTTGAATAATAATGAATTTTGAAAAAAAAAAAATTTTTTTGGTGTTTACGAAAATCTTTGTTAAAAAAGTAAAACCAAAGCTTTTTCTAATTAAAATGGTTGAATAGTATTTCGTTAAGACTGATATTTTTAATAATAAATTATAAGTTTAACATATTATGAGTTGTAAATAAACAAAATTTAACATAAATAGAAAAAAATATTATAAGTTATCTAAGAAGTGGCAAATCCAATGACAATAATAAAAAAAAAGTTATGTTCTCTTGTTTTATTTTTTGACTATGATATGGATGCTATTTTTTTTTTTTAACTGTGAATAATTAAATTTGCTTGTCTTTTATTTACCAATGTGGAATGAATGCAAGTACCCACAACATAAGATATTAATTGTGGGATTATTCTTTTTCTCCCTTGTTTGATTATAATATTCTTTATAAATAATATCATAATTTAAAAATAAAAAAATTATAAGTGTTAAAATTTAAATTTAAAATATATTAAATATCAATTTTTAAAGATATTATATAAACTAACGTAATTAAATTTTAAATTCATTTTCTTCATAATTTTTTGTCCAATAATGAAATGAAACTTTTTTTATAGAACCCACAAAATCAAACAAGTATATAATATTAAAAGAAACTTAAAGTTTTAGAGCATTATCTTATCCATCCCTACATAAATTTATGATTATTTATTTTTGTAATATGGAGGAAAACAATAAAAGTAGACGAGTTTATTTGAAAAACAATAATTTTGAGGTTTTTTTTTAGTAGTTTAAATAAAGTTAGCAAAAATAAAAATTTTAAAATTCAATTCAATTAGTTATATAATTATTTTTAATAGATGATATTTAATAAATTTAATTTTAAAATTTAACATTTATTATTTTTAAATAAAATTGAGATAAACCAAAAAACGAAAAAAATTATAACATGGTTAAGGGTACTTAAACGAGATAAAAAGTGAAAAACACAAATTGAGTAAAAATAGTAAAATAAAAAATTATGCGTCTTCTCATTATTCAAAAAAAAAAAAAATCCTTAGCTCTTACTAAAACATTTCACCTTGCCACACAGTAAAAAAAAAAGGGAGTTTCTCCAATGTTTATTCGTGATGGACACATGGGAAACACAAACAACAGTCCAATAAATTACGGATTAAATGGGCCCACCTCATCCGCTTTCACATTTCCGTCCCTGGATTTACCTGCCACACTAACACCTTCCCACCTGGACCCAATCCCAAAGAGCTCACAACTGATTGTGGGGTTCCGCCACGTGTTTCCTGTGGTATTAGCTATTGCGGGGAAGAGGGTGACGGCACCTTAACGCTAAAATTCCTATATTGAAGACGGCTCTGATACAAACATGTGACACAATAGACGGCCCTGATTAGCTACAGTAATCTAAAATGATGCCCTCATAGGGGAACTTGCTTTATTTACACGCAGGCTTGGGAGAGTTGGCTTTTTTGGCGTGGCTTAGGTGGCTCACTTGATGAAGATTGTGGCTTAATATGATTTCATTTAAAAATATTATTAATTTATTTTATATTTATTATTAAATATTACATAATTTGTCAATAAATCAAATCTCAAGATTTTTATTTTAATTATTTTACAAATGAAACTTTAGTATTAAAATAAAAAATATAAATATTGATATTTAAATTTTAAAATCTATGTATATTTTTTAAAAATGTGTTTTTTCATTGCTTTTAGATTTGATTAAGTGTTTATTCTATAGTGTTATATAGCATGAGAGGTGTATACATATATATATTATTTTATTTTTATGGTATATTCTTAATAAATATTAATTATTTTATTGGTAAATATTTGTCCTTTTATATATATATATATATATATATATATATATATATACTTCATTCACTCTTAGCTTATAGTGTGAGTTTATTAAATTTAAAAGAGATTACAAACAACAGTTTAAAATTTATTAATCAAACGAATATATAATAAATAAAATAAAATTTTTTTATTTTTGATTTGATTATATTTTTATTTATGAGTTTCTTTTGTTAAGTTTTTTAAAATTTTTTATTAAATCTATATGTAAATAAAATATTATAAGATTAAAAATTTACTTGATTCAAAAGATAAAAAAAATAAGAATGAAAATTTTATTAATTTAATAATTAAATTACAAAATAAACAAATAATTATAAAATTTAATAATTAAATTAACAACGTTTTTATTCTTATTTCTGTCTACATTTCTTATTAAATAAAGCCTAAATAATCGCATGCCAAATTAATCATTTGTGTGAGGATAGTGAAATAGTTAATCATTCCGGTTGACATTTGCTGTTTCTCCAACGCATAAATATTTGTAAAATATATATATATATAAAAAAAAGGAAATGAGCATTTGAACATAAATGTAAAACAAGATCACTAGCAACATTCCCAAAAGTATCTAGCCATAAGAATATTATGGCACTGTTCACAAATATTTTTTTTAATTAATTACTAGATTAGTGGAATTTTTTTTTTCCTTTTGTGGGTCTGTTAATAAAGAATTAAAGAAATCAAGCTTCCTTGAACCAATGTCTGGTCTGGTCCCTATTTGAAGTGGTCACTACGCGGATTGACACACGAGCAGAATTATCAGTCTCTTCCTCTTCAACGATTTCAACACCCAAATATCTTTCTTTCAATCTTTCAGCGTCTTTCAATCTTCGAATTCCGACAAATTAGGTTGATGGTTGTCTCCTCTCTTTTATAAATTTCCATGATTCGGAATCGATCAAGTTCATTGCTCACTTAGTCCTTTCTTCTGGCTTTTGTTTCTGGTCTGGTTCTCTATTTTTTATGGAGGTTGAATGTTTTGCATTTTGTAAGAGGGTTCATGTGTTTGTATGAATCCCAACAAATATTATTCTTCCTTTTTGTCCTGTTTTCAGTTTCAACAGCTTGGCCCTTTTGCCACTTCACAGGCTTTAAAGGATAACAGCTTTTAAATTGCTTGAAACAAAAGCACACCGCTTTCAGATTCTCAAGGCTCTTCTTTGCTGACTTTTACAATTCCATTCTCACCTCAACAACTCAACCCAATTTTCTCCAAAGAAAACAAAGCTTGATCATCAAATTCAATCAAAAAGTGATACTTTTGAGCTTAAGATTGAAGTATTTTGATCCTCCCAAAGCCAAAAAAGTAATCCTTTTTGCTCCTTTTGAGATCACAAGAAGTAATAAAAATGCAAGACCCGACGGGGTTTCAACAAATGAAAGCACCGGTTTTTCCAGAGCAAGAGCAGCTAAAATGCCCACGATGTGAGTCAACCAACACTAAATTCTGTTACTACAACAACTACAACTTGTCTCAGCCCCGCCATTTCTGCAAGAACTGCCGCCGTTACTGGACCAAAGGTGGCGCCCTTCGTAACATCCCTGTCGGTGGCGGTACCCGCAAGAACACCAAACGCTCCTCCTCCTCCAACAATAACCCCAAACGCCAGCCCAACCCTGCTATTGACCCGACCCGAAACCAAAAACTCCCCGACCCCTCTCCGCCGCCAACAACATCCTCTACGATTCCCCAGCAGGTTATTTTGAACTCGGGGGTTCAGATTTCGGGTTCTGATGCCGACTCGACCCAGATGTATGTCTCGTCGGTCCATCATCAAGATAGGAAGATGATGGATATCGGTGGGAGCTTTAGCTCGCTGTTGGCGTCGAATGGGCAGTTTGGGAACCTTCTAGAAGGGTTGAATCCAAATGGGTCGGGTTTAAAAACGGTGCAAATGGGTGATTTTGGAGGAAGTTTGGATTCAGGTCGTAGAATGAATCCGGGTCCGGGTCGGGGTCGGGATCCGGAATTGGGGGAGAGCAATAACAACGTGAACACTTATTTGGGTTTGCAGGGTGGTGGGGATACAAATTGTTGGACTGGCGGGAGCAATGGGTGGCCAGATCTTGCTATTTACACTCCAGGTTCAAGTTATCAGCAGGGATAGAAAAAATGTTTTTCCTTTTTTTTTTTTTAATCTCCCTACTTTTCTTATGCTTAATTGTGCTTATCTTGGTAATTAAAAGCTAAGGTTGTCAAAGATAATTTCATGATTTTGTAGTATTTAATGATGCTATAATAGAGTACCCCATCATTTAACTATAATAGCCTTTTTTGTGTTTTAAATATTTTTGGGATTTGCAATTTTTTGTTGTTTATGATTTGGTGGAGTGGGAGAAGATACGGGAAATCCAATCCCCAAAATTCAAGCTCTATTTGTTTAAAGAATAAAGTTTGTCTTTCAATAGCTAGACAAGTTTGAACTCTCCCCTTCATTGGGATATCGTTTGTTATTTCAATGTTGCCCTTTTTTTCAATTTGTCAAGAGAGCTAGACAAAATTGAACTCTCCTCTTCACTGTGATATTGATATGGATTGTTATTGTACCCTTTGCTTTTTTAACTTGTCAAGATTCAATATTTATTTTAAGAGAACAATATTATTTTAAGTTTTTTTATAGTGAATGCTTAAGTTGTATCATTCAATCATCATTAAAAAATAATATTTAATAAATTTAAATTTAAATTTAAATTTTGATTGTTTTATATAAAAATTTTTTTATAATATTTGACCACATATCTCAACTTCCAAATGGATCATGCAATGGATTTTGCACATAAACGCTAGTTAACATTTCTCTAAGCATAATCATAACAATCTTACTAGCAAAGAAACCAATAACAAAAGGAGAAATGATTACTAACAAAGAATAAATGTTTATAAATTTATTATATTTATCATTTATGAGCAATCGAATTGTCAAATAAAAAACAAGGTTATTCGTTTTACGGAAAACAAAAAGATTATTACAATTGTGGGTTGTAGACAAGCACAATCTGCTCTCTTTTCACGTAGGGAGGATGCTTTCTTTGTGGTGGTACATTCTACAAAAAACATGAATATATCGATCGAGCTCTAGTGCTAGGGTTACTGTTGAATAGTCTATGGACATACAATAGGGGCTTTCAAAGTTCAAATCAGATTTTGCTTTAGCATATTCAGCTCTAGCCAGATAGGGGTCTTATTTGGCAAAGGGCTGCTAGTACCTATAATCAGTGGCAGAAATGGTAGGTTTAGAGGAATGAGTAAGGGTTTGAATCATCAAATGCTGGCTGCTCTCTCAATGTCTGCCCTTATGGGCCACCCACTATAATGTGTTAGAGAAATATTGGACCACCCCTTTGGTATAACAATGTCAACTGCAACCAACCACCTGTAGCAGGGCTCTCCCTAATCCATTTTGGCAAAAATGGAGAAAAGAAAAATATAAACTACATTATATATAGTTGAGGAGGTGGACCCAAATGAAGAAAAAAAATCAATGAGCAGCTGCATTATCGCCATTGGAGGCCAAAAAGAGAATGATGCTTTGTGCTGCTCTGGTCCTCATATATTGGTAGCAGTTGGCAATTTCGTATCATACTTAAAGGACACTCGTCAATGAAATGAGAACTAGTAGCTTCTTTTGGAATGGCATACATATTCCTTCTTAATCATAGATTTTGTAGTGATTTTGCTTAGTCGTCGTGGATACAATGGTTTTTGTATTTTATTTGGCTGCCAAAATTGAAGGGTAAGAAGCTATGACTTGGCTTTCCTTGCGGCACAATTAATGTGATACAGCACTGAGCAGATATATATTGACCAGATTACACTGCCTAGTCAACCAAAATCATGGCTAATATGGAAATGAAAATGAAAGAGCCCTCTCCTCTGACTGTCAAATCAAATCGAACACACTCGAGGCTTGCTTGCTTTTAACGCTTGAAATTAGTGTTAAATATCCTTTTTATTACTCTTATATTTTATACAAAAATTATATTTCAAATTGTATAAATATAAAAAATATAAAATATTTTTTATTTTTATTAAAATTTTAATTTATATAATTATCATATTTTTATTTATATCATTTTCATATTATTTGATCGAAAACTATTTTATGGCTTTTCATATCAACAATTTCTGTAAATAGGGCGGCATGAAACACATAACTGTTTATGTCTCAGGAGAAAACATGGAGCATTTTAGTATAATTCAAAATAGGATTTGAAAAGAGCTGCAGTAATTGAGGAGACCCAAAACTAAGCTTATTGTAAATTTCGACAACCTTGATTCAACATACGGTCAAATTATTTAAGACTCAATCAATTTAAAGCACACCCTAAAAACTGCATGAATGTGACAGTGTATAGAAGTGCAACACAAACTCCGTAAAATCTTTGGCTATTTCACGAATCTCAATAGAGGAAGAAGCTTCACATTTAATACAAAACAAAATCAAAGTACACTTTGATATAAAAAGAAGATTACATTGAAACAGTACGAGCCTTGTACATGCAGATGTATGCCATGTGCCAATCACCTAAAAAGAAAACAAATTACCAGTTAAAAGATGAACACCCTAGAAAACAATGGGGTCAATTAATGATGCATGTTATTTGTAAGCAGTAAACGAGTGAGATGACTTGTCAATTCCAAGCATCAGCACATTAAATTTGTTGGTATAGATTCAATGGTAGATTTAAGATTGTTTTTTAAAGTATCCACTTGTAAATATATATGAAAAAACATCTGACAAATTTATCAATTTTCTCCAGAGAAATTTTAGGAATATCCAGGAGAGTACTTTTTAAAAATTTTTTAAAATTTTCAATTTTGGAGATGTCCATGAATACCCTAGTTCAAAGAATGAATCCACCACTGTATAGACCGGCTTATGATCAAGCGAAGAAAACCAAGATGGGTTAGAATTTGCAAAAGTGAGGTTGAGATTACCTCCTCCAGACAGTTTAACAATGCCTTCCTCCCGCTGTGGAATAGGGTTATCATCATCAAACTCAATCCATTTCCCTATGATTGATTAGTTACAGCTATTAATATAACAATAAATGCATAAAAAATAGAATAGAAATAAAGTTCCGAACAAACTATTCCAGGGAACTGACCACTTTCTTGCTTGACCCAAGCGACATAATGCCCTGAATCAGCACTTCGACCTTTGTGGGTAAGAACGGCAACCAAATCATAAATCCCAGTTAAACGTGTTTCCTTGTCAGCGGGAATCCCTGAAAAATTGAAGTGAGAAATCAATCTATCAAAATGTTTTAAGTATCTCATCTATTACTGCATCTTCACAGAGAAGAATTATGGTGTACAATTTGGGCTCAGATTATGCTATTCAAGAGATCCCCTGTAAGGAATTAGAAAATTATTAAAACATTGCAGCTTGATAACAATCTGATGATCAGAAATTTATCCCTGTAAAATTAGCTTTAAAAACTTAAATATTCATCAAATAAGCATTCATATAAAAGAGAAAAACTGTGTTCGCTGCAACCATTTGATAATATATATCTGGAGAATAAACTGCAATCGAGTACTTGAACAAACAGTTTAGGGTGACAAAAGATCAGGTCATAGTGGGTTTTTACCTTCTTGAGATGTAGTCCCAGATGATTCTCCAATTGCATTTGATGAACCCCTGCATGCATAATATAGAAAAATTGTATCAAGCACAACTACTCAGGATCGCTATTTCAGCCTGCACTTAAAGATAAATCATCTAGTCACCTCCGCATCAGTCATCTTGAAATCATCATCTTTTGAGCTCCGGCTCTTCTCATTAGCTTTCAAACCAAGCTTTTTACCTTCTTCATCCCTCAGAAGCTAAAAGTTGCATATCAAGAAAAAATTGCTCAATGATTGCAAACCGAAATTTAATTATTCATCAAAACAAGGCAAAAATGGCTACCTGGCGAGGACCTTCCAATTGTTTGTGAAGTTCGTCTGAACACAGATCATAAACATCCAACTCCAATGGATAATCCACTTTCTGAAAAAGGGACACCCATATCATGTAATACAATTGAACTGAATGTTCAACACACAGATACAACATTGTTCAATAAACAGACAGAAGGGTCTCAATATTTTATGCGCCTTTACCAAGTTATCTCCTGTTGGTTAATTCAAAAATAAATATTTGTTTATGAAACATGTACACCAAGAAAGAACAAAATTTGCATACCCGCAAAATCTTAGCCTTTTGATTTGATTCCCTCTTCCAGAAAAAACGCACAAACTGAATAGTCAAGTACCTTCAGAATTCACCCAAAGAAAACAAAACCAAAACGGTTACCAGAACATTCTTCTCTTCAAAAGGATGGATGAAAACATGGAAAGTATGAAGATCAAAATAGCAAATGGAATCTACATCAGTGAGGTAACATCAGAAAGAAATGTCAAGTGATATTTTAGCAGACTACAGTAAAAATGTACAATATATAAAGAGGACAATAAAGAAGCCATTACTTACCTTGGCAAGCCATTAATTCGGGACTCTTTCAAGTAAGTTGCACTCCGCCCCAAAGCGGGAGAAGCCTTTTCCAATTCTGATTTCAAACCCTACATAGAGAAACCTTTTTAATCATGCCCACTATCAATGGATTAAGAAAAAGATTCTTCATCTGAATACTTCTGAAGGTCCAAAAGGATGAATAATAATAGACTTCAACATTATTTGTAACTTGATGAGCACAGCAGAGTGGTTAGGATAAACCCCTACTCAGAGAAAGAAAGGATAAAATAATTCCAATATTATAAATTTGTTATTCAATTTTTTTCTTTAAAAAACATAGATTAAAAAACATTACAAGTCAAATCAGCAGCAAGAGGGGACTGAACACAATAACTGTCCCAAAATTGAATCTTTTTATTTGACCACAAAATTGACAAGACTATCAAAAGAAAAGCACTGCATGCAATACTTAATACATATATAGAATAGGAAAGAATATAGCTGATATAACTTACATGCTTTAGACCTTCATGCAAATGGTTCACCTCTTGTGAAATGTGGCATTTTAGTGAATAAACAGATTCTGTCTCAGAGCTTTCCTCACCACTCTCTTGGCAATGAATGCTAGCAATTAAACACAGGTTGGATAATACAAGGGTAAATTGTCGAGAACTCTTCATATAAAAAGAAGCAGAAAAAATGAAAGGTAGCAAATTTCACAATGCATTGCTAGGTAATACATAAACTTGGTGCATATGGACAAATCAGCCGAATATTGGGTAAATAATTATCTCAAAAGTAACATAAACCAAATAATGAACACAAAAATCCTAATGTCCCTTGAACTTAGAAACTGCATAAACTACTTTGATGTAGGCATGAAAAGCCGAGGGATGTTCTGGTTTTGCTTGTCTAGACTAGTTGAAATTTGATCTTCTTTATCTTTTCCCCAGTTAGTAACTGATGGTTTACTTTTCTCTGTATTTCTTGCATGAATAGCACCAACAAGTATCCAACAGTTACAGAATACGGCATTGGTTTATATAAACCGTCTAACTTGATATTGTCATTGTTAAATAAAAATACAGAACAATGATCAAATCTGTAGATATCTACCTGCTTGCAAGTTCAATACCAAAAAGGTCCTTTACAGCATCAAGATTTTCACTGTAAAAAGAAAAAAAAAAGGAGAGAGATTAGTATTATTTTTCTAAATAGATGTTGGTTAATAAATAAGAAGATATATGCTAGTAAAGCATTGTAGTACCAAAAGAACTATGCAAGTTAACACTACTCAAAATTAAAAAAGATCCCTAATTTTGCTGAAAAAGTTTGATAAAGCGAAAGTGACAGGCTTCTATGAAACTAAAACTGTTCAATTATTAGGAATACCACGTATTTGCTCAAGCTCGTGCCATTAAGCATAACTTAGTGATCTAAATAAAAAAGAACAAGAAAACTACCTGGAACCTGGCGACCGAAGAGACTGAGAAAGGGTGTATAAAAGTTGTGTCCAACATTCTTCAGCATCCTGTAGAAAATTCCAAACCACTTATCAGCATATAAACAAATCTAAAACAGGAAGAGTATTATGTACAGGAGATTATTAACTTTAAACAAAAACCTGCTGCATGAAGACACCATTATGCAACTGACCGAATTGAGGATACTTTTTACGCAATACCTGCAACCAAGATACATAAAAACAATAAGTTCTCCATACTTTTCTTTGAACTAAGTTCCATATAGCAACAAAGCAGAATAAGAGAAAAGCTTTTAATGAACTTTGAAGAACAGTGAAACAACTCTGTTTACAACAGTACAGAAAAATATTTGCATGAAGCTCCAGCACTAAATGATAAAAAAAAGAAAAAGATTAAATCACTAGGAACAAGAGTTCGACAGAATCAGCAACAGAAATGTTAAACAAGGCACAGTGTTAAACTGTTTCTGTGTACTTTACCTTATGCAAATATCAAAATGTAGCCTAGTACACCTACAAACACGTTACATGCTATACACAAGGATTCCACCTAAATTCCATCTAGTGATATCCTATGAGCTCCACAGATCAGAGAGAATGTGGTGATTCAAATTATGCGTGATAAGGAAAAAAGGGAACAAACCATCCAAAATTGCATTGGTGCAACTGGCTTGACACTTTTATCAAGTTCATTAAATAAATCACGAGTTGCAACTGTCAACATATGAGAAGTCTGATCCAAATCATTGCTTCTTACAGAATGTGAATACCTGATCACAATCGATACAGCATACATTACATTTGCATCGTATGAAAAACATACAATATAGTGCCAGGTTCTCACATAATACATTGTTAGGTATAGAAGAAAAACCTACTTTGTTAAAGCAGACTTCAACTCTGGAACAGAATGCAGGCATTGTACTGTTGAATTCATGTAGCAGGTATTTCCCAGATTAAATAGCCCAGCACTATGACCCTGAAAGAAAAAAATTAACCAGGTAAGAGTCCTAAGTTGCAAGGCTAGGGAAAAGGAACAAATTACAAAAACCAAGAGTGAACCCACTATGTAGATTAGGACTTCACTTGATTGTAAATTGTACTAACAAGCAATGAAGAAAAAATAAAATTAAACAAAAAAGCAGTGAAGTTATCACCATCACCACTTGCCAATTCTCTCTCCCCCCTGATCCATAACACCCCAAAACGGAATAACAAATTGTTTTCAATACACTTCAAGTCAAACAACTGAAACTCAGGCCAGCATAATTTGAGAATAAGAATAGTTAGCAAATCTAAAACCATATGTTAATACAAGAACAGGCAAATCCATCAAATTTTTTTAATATGAGGAAGAGTTCCTTTGTTTCCATATTTTTTAGGGGGGTAAGCAGGATAAAGCTAGTAACAATGTAGAGAATGCTTTCATCCAAGTCTTGTGATACATCTTGAATAGGCTCCATATAATAAACTATAATTCTTTAAAAGATACATGTCAACTAACAACGTCAGTGATTTTTAGCTCTTCTTAATGTTCAATGAGATTAACAGACGAATACCAAACAATTGACTAGTGCATAAATCATAAGTAGGTTAACAACATGATACAAGCTGGACATACAATGGAATCGAACTACAATCACAACACCAAGACAATAATACCATATTATTTTTTTATATAATCAGAATGGAATATATTTTTCAGTTAAAAGAGAAAAAGAAGAACATGAAAAAGGACAGTAAAAACAGGGAGTGAAATTGGCACTTACCAAAGATACCACTTGTTCTTCTTCTGGAAGATCTTCCATAAAAACAGGACCCTTTTCTGGGGCCTTAACAATCTCATCAGCAGTTCCCATCATCATCAATTTTTGACCCTGGAAAAAACATTACGGCACAAGGCACAACATGCTTGTTAAGAAGCTGTGCACAAGCATGAACCGGAAGAAAAACAAAAGTAAACGCTATCAAGATTGTTCACCTGTTTCACTCCAACAGTTGACCAATCTGCATCATCCTAAATTGTCAAAAGAACAAGCTTTAGAAATTAATGAATCACACTCAAAATAGTCACAGTAGAAAACCATGAGTTTACAAATAAAGGGCATGTATCTCTAGTCTTTGTACTAAACAGGTAAAGCACTTTATCAAGCAGTTTTCTAGCTTTTTTATCCAAACCCACCCAATTACCTTCAATAGGCCACCTTTAACCATAATCTTCTGTCTTTCAGGAGGTACTCCAGTCAAATCATACAACTGGCACTTGAAAACATATGGAGGCTGACTGGTGTCAATTTCCACAGCCTTAAAGACTTCCTTTTGCCATTTCACACTAACTACAACATTCAAAAAGAATTCTTAAGAGTCCAAAATCATTATAATATCAAATACAAAAGCATTAACTATCAGGGTTAAAAAAAAGGTCACCATGAAACAGATAAAGCTTCAACAGTGACAGCTGATTCCTTCTCTAACTAACCACCACTCAAACCCATTGCTAAAGTTTGCAACACAAAGCTTTTAAGTATTAATATAATTCAAAGTTTCACTTTTTCTCAAAGTGAATACATTCTCTATCTAAATTTCTCCATACATTTTATAACTCTAACCATTTTTTACATTTAAAAACTCAGTCCTATCAGCAAAACGTGATTCATAGAGTTAAAAAATTGGATATTCTCAAATGATACATGGATCCACGAAATTCAAGTACATAAACTTCAAGTTTTTTTTTATGCAATATAGACGCCTTAATCAATTGCTTTGATGAAATATCTCAATACTCGATAATATTTACTGTAAAAAGAAAAACGAACACTAGAGCCCTCAAAATAAACGGTAAGACAAGGGAAACCAACATTAGCTTCGTCCCTTAACAGCTAGTATATCCCCAACAACAACAACAAAAACCCCTATAAATCACATGGAAACGTAGAATCGAATCCAAAAAACAAACATATGAAAAAACCGAAAAACCAAGAAGAACCACTTCATCAAATCCAAAATGAAGTCCAAAAGAGAAAAAAAGCTGTAGCAGTTCCATTAATCAGCAATAATAATAAACCATAAATGAAAACCCCTTCTAGGTAATATCTAAATGAGGCATTAACTATGAATGAAAGAGGAAAAAATCAGCAAAAAGCTTAGGAGTGTAGAACCTGTCAGCATGATTGGGTTGCTGTCGGGATCGACCAAGAAAGAATTCTATTTTCTTTTAGCTTGGAGAAAGGGAAAAGTATTTTATTTTTACGATATTTGTTTCCATATTTTGTTCTTTGTTTTTATATAGAGGAAACGTCTCCGAACCCGGTTCTTGTTGGTTCGGGTTGTATCCCGTATTAGGGTTTTCGTTGACGGATCAAAGGTTTAATTTTTTTTTTCAATTACATGAAATAATAAAAATAAGCAGCAAATAAATGGATGTAAGAAAAAAAAAAAAACGACTTTGAGTTTAAAAACTATTTTTAGACAGACTCCCACTTTAGAAAAAAGTTAAAAAAAAAAAAAAGAACAGAACAAAAACAGAAACAACCCCCTACACTCTTAGCTCGCAGCACTTTCTCCGCTCCCATCTCTCTTTCTTCAACCACGCTGCCATTCTTTCAATTTATATTCGTACAAATACGGAAATGCATACGTGTAAATATACGTATGCAAATAGGATTTCCATTTCTTAATAATGCAAAGGAATAAATCTAGTAAACCCCTTCCACAAAACCAATGTACGGAGGCTCCTTGAAGCTCGGCAGCGGGCGAGGTGGCGGCCATCGGGTGGAGGCCCCTGGAACCGCTCTTCATTCCCTCCGCCACCGCCACACCGCCCTTCTTCCGCCGCCCCAATTAGCCGGCTTTCCCTTGGCTCCGCCTCTAGCTACCGCCCCGATATTGGGGGCGGTTCAGGACCCGCACCGTCTGTCGAAGAGAGCTTTTCGCTTGTTTCTGGGAACAATCCATTGGCTTTCACTATGATCATAAGGTTGGCCAGGATTAAATTTGATTCAATTCCGCCTAACCCTAGTGGGAATGTAAGTTTTTTTTTTATATAATTTATTGCTATTTATTTCAAATTGTATTTCTTTTTCCTCCAATTTTGATGGTTTTTAGGGATAAAACTAGTGGGAAACGATTCTGCTTGATTGGAATTCATCTGGGTTTAGCTTAAATTTGGTGGTCTATGGGGATAAATTTAGTAGGAAAGAATGCTGCTTGATCAGAATTCTTCTGGGTTTAGCTGATGGAAATTTTTATGCTGCTTCTTTGAATTGTTATGGAATTTTGTTTATATATATATTTCTTTGTATTTCTTTGTTATTTTCTATTGGCTATCTTTTGGTTTTCTGATTTTGCTTTTGGGTGTAACTATGTCTGGGTTATGTGGTCATGCTTGTGTAGTTCTTAGTTTACAACTGATTATGAAAATGTAAGTTGCCTGATAGGAAAAACCTGGCTTAACATCAAATTGGGTGACTTTATGGGGTAGGTTGTGGATTTTGTTATGTTAGTTCTTAGGTTTGAGCATTTCATGGATGATTGTGGGTTGTGTTCTGTTATTTTATTTAGATTTTGGTGGTTTATTAGGAGATGTTCAGGTAATTCCGTAATTGTGCTGGGTTTCTTTGGTCTTTTTATCTTAAATAGGTTGTACATTTTCTTGATTCTAGTAGGCTATGAGGGAGTTTGGTCTATTTGGTATCTATTTGGTTTTTGTTATCCCTAGCATGTCTTGAGTTGGGTGTGGCCTAGTACTTTTTCCTCCTGAAATTTTTACATTATGCACCAATTATATTCAATCTTTATAGACTTTCATTGTTATTTAATTTTTATTATATGATGATTTAGCTTTCATTTCTTAATTTTGGGGATTTGTACTTTGAATATGATTATTGGCTTTTAAGTCTTTTATGTACAAGATGTACCAGGGGGAGTTCAAGATAGGAGCAGTAATAAGCATGTAAAATATGAAAGTTTAGTACAAAGTTTATACACAAACTTCCTTGTTTGTTGAGGACATACTAACATGTAGTAGGGGGACATTATTTTGCTGGAATTTTCACTGACCAACACCTCTGAAAAAGATGCATTTGCAGAAAAAGTGAACCAACTTTACCTGCTGGTTTAAAATGATAGGGCTATCTCTATCTGCCAATGTTGGTATATCTTGTGTGTAAACAAAAGGTTTTAATATTTGCATAGTCTGTTTGACGGTGCAATTTGACGGTAAATAGATCCTTCAAATCATTGGCACAAGAATTTAGTGCAGCATGGGTTGAATTTTCTTTTGATTGCATTATATTATCTGGGGTACCATTGTTGGTTGATATGTTTTATGGACTGCATCACTGGCTTTCTTCTTGTTTTTGGGTGGATTTAGAATTATGAAGAAATTTCTTGTGGTTGATGGAAGGCCTTTTAAGCATGACAGTTTATAGCTTGGAATACAGAAAAACCGGTTAGGGCCTGAGAGTTTTGGTCTTCTGTTTTGAGATGTAGCTGCACCAAAAATCTTGATTTAATGTTCTATTCTTATTTTAAACATTGATGATAGCTCCCATTATTTGTTAGACTTTTGGAGCCAGAAGTTGCAATTGAATTCTCTTCAGTGTTCATTTTTTTGTCTTTTCTAAACTTCTTTACATCTTTGTGGCCTGTCAATTATCAACAAATGTGTGTTTAAATTGATCATTACTAGTGTAGGTCATTGATGTTGGTGGCAAGGAGTTTAGATTTACTTGGTCATGGGAATTTAGTGATCTGTGTGATATATATAAAGAATGTCAAAGTGGTGAAGATGGAAATGGTTTACTTGTTGAATCTGGGTGTGCATGGCGCAAGCTGAATGTTCAATGCATCTTGAATGAGTTAACCATGAACCATGTTAAGATGCAGTCAGAGGAAGCTGAATGCAAGCATAAATCACACAAGTATGTTATCTAGGATGGTTTTCTCATAGTCATTATTTGCCTAAGAATGCATATTTGTTTCTCTTCTTTAACTTACTTTGTGTTGTTTATGTCCAGTTAAGATGATTCAGATCTAGATATATATTCCACTATGGTTGGTTATCAAAATATAGATGATTTTGTACCATATAACATGTTATTAATATACGTGTGAGGAGACATCTTTTGACATTTTTTTAGCTGGTTAATGCACTACATTAGTTGCTTTTGTTTTTGTTTAAGAGTATCTAGTTGGTTTCTGTTTTCTGTATCTGGAGTTTCATTCAGTACACTTTAGTTAGTTCTTTTAGCTGTTTTTTGGGTCAATGAAGACAATCCCTTTCGTGGACACCACCTAGAATAGTAGAAAACTATACACAATAATTAGGTATACAATTTTTTTTTCTCTATACCCATATTTGCCAGTACATTGATAAAAATTCTGCTGATATTGCATAATCTACTGAACCAGCCTTTTAGCACCAAGATAGAGCCCTTCAAATACTGACAGCATGGTGAGAACCTGAAGAAAAAGTAACAAGGTTAATGCTATGCAGAAGTGCAATCTGGGTCCTTTTTTATTTCTTCTAATGAATGCAGTGGAACAGTTTGTAGGTAAGCAAATTCCTGGAAAAATAAGCACTGCATCACCATGAGAATTTTTCAGAACACCTCAATCATAATCTTTTCTCAAATAGAGACCCATCAACGTTGTTTAAATCATTATAACCTCTGAGAGCTCCTTCCATTACATGGGATCTTTCACTGTTGAAGCTCGCCCCTCCTGTTCCAGTTATAAACGTAATAGTCTTGATCTACCACTCTATAACTCAAACAATCAGTCTCAAATTAATATCAATAATAATATGCTAGAGAACAGCCATATGATCTTTGAAATCACCTCGTAAACTATTGTTTCTCTCATACCAGAGTCTATTCTTTATAGCAGCTAATGTAATTCTTCTCACTTTGCTTATTCCATCATCAGCATAGCTAAAGTTCACCCAATCTTTTGCAGTATTTCTGATGTTGTAGTGCTTCCTTAAGAATTCGGAATGGACGCTAGCTGGAAAAGAACATTCAGAAAGGAGATGTGCATACATCTCCACATTATTGTTACTGAGACAACAACTCAAATAATATCAGAAACCTTTTAGTCAAACACCATTTCCTAGTTTGCATTTAAAAGTTGGATTCTTCTCCCTGATAATGTTTCATGAAGAAACTCTGGCCTTTCATTTTATCTTTTATGTGGTTCTGGTTATTCATTTGCTATTAATATTTTATGATACTATACATGGTCATGTTTGGAAATAGGGTTAAGTTAAATGAATACTGTAGTTTTCATCTTTTCTTCTTTTGTTGTTGATGACAGAACCATTGAACTAGACCATGGTAACCCTTCTATGAAGAATCAAATCAAGAATTTTGCTGCTGCTGAGGGTAAGTTTTTCTTTGTGATGTTGTGTTTGCACCCCCTCTCTTCTTCCATAGTAGCCAGTATATTTTTGCCTTTTCTGACATATAGAAGGTACCAATATAATAAGCATTACAATATGATAGGACTTAGGTCTATTTAAGATCTCTTCCCTTGTGTCTCTTCTTTCAATGCTTTATTTATGCATTTAATTTTCCTTTTGGGGTCCTAATTCTTTGCTGCTTAATAAATTGCTTTGATGCCTATGCTAATCGAGATGATATCTTCAAGTTACTTTCTCTTTCTTGAAATTCCTTAGTAATGAGGATGATTCTTCTGATATGTATTTTTAGCCTTGGGCTTCACTCACCTTAGGGAAAACGAATTTGCATGCCCAATACATGCTGAATGATAGCAGAAGAAGAAACCCATTGAAAATGTTTTTCACTGAAAGTAATTTCTGGCAGGGAACATTTAAGATCAGAAGAGGTTACTTTTTAAAGCATAAATGTTTACTGTCTTATATGTCTCTTGTGTTTCCAGCTAGTCCATGGAAGTCCCACCTTAAAAAGAAGGAGCTTGCTTTTAAGAAGCAGAAAGTTGAGACACCTCAAGGTAAATCATTTAAATTTTATTTAATTAATTATGAAAACTATCTTATGTTCCACATGGTCTTTCCAAAAGCAACAATCTGTATGAGGTATTGAGATTTTACTTTTAAATGGTTGCAGTTCCATTTCTCTTCTGTTTAGGTTTCTTAATAGTGTTATTGCAATGTATGTTTCTTGCACCAGCTGCAGTTGGAGGCCCTCCAAATTTTGGCTATAAATCTGGATTAATTTCAACAGCTAGTGCAAAAGGAAGACGCTCATCTTCGCCTTTGCCATCCCAACCTGAGCTCTCTGGTGCTGCAGCATCTCTTATTGGAATTGGAAATATCACCAAGAGTCATGCAAGCATTAAGGATGTTATGCCTCCCCAGGTGAATAGCAAAGAAAATATTTCCAGCTCTGAGAAAGGAATACCAACCATGGCAACTAGTGCAGTGTGTGAGATGCCAGGGCATAGAGGAAACTTTGGACATAAGCCAATGAACTTGCAGAGTCTGCTGATCAGTCAGTCTACCGAAGGAGAATGCCAAGGGGATGAGGTTAAAGGCAAGGGCTAGGATTGAGTGAAAGTTTTAAATTAATTGTCCCTCCCTCTTTTGCTGCTAGTGCATGTTGTTGGCTTCAATCCATTATTTTGAAATCATTTATCTCTTAGTCTCTCTCTTTCTGGAGTTGCTACAAGCCTTGGAGAAAGTTGTTGGGATACAATTCCAAACTTTGCACGAATGATCAAGCCCATTGTAAAAAGAGTAAGTGATGGAAATCCTTGATGTGAGTATTTTTAAGACTAGCATGTGATCTTATACCTTCCTTTAATTTTCCTCATCAGATTGCAACTTACCAAGCTCCAAGAAGATTTTTCTTGAGACTCAAGAGTGGATTGGAAAGCTTGAAGAAATCTTTTTCTGAAAATGGAAGGTACTTGCCATTTTCATTTCCAATGTGTTTGATTTGATCAATCTTATAATTAAATTGAATTCTCTTGTTTTTCTTTTTTCATCTTTATACTTAATGATTTCTTATTCTCATCATATATATATATATATATATATATGGGTAAGACTGAGGATTGAGGACTGAGGACTGAGGTGAAGTTCTTAGGGTGCTCAATGAAATTACCCCATGTCTTAAAATTGTTCACTTTGTAGGGAAAGTTAATGTTAAAAGTTCAAGGTGCGGTCGATGTTGAGTTTGCAAATTTTAACTCAATATGCAATTTTAATAGGGCAAAAACTTTAACTAAGTTTTGCCCTATATATAGACAGGTTAGCTTTGATCTACTAGAAAGACAGGCTTTTTCTCTTATCAGATAGTGTTGTTGGCATTTTGAGACTTATAATGTGGAGAGTTTGTCTAGCTAGGATAATGTGGACCTATAAAAGAGTAAGATAAAAGAGTAAGAAATAAAGGGCATCGGAATTTGGGCTTTGGAGCACGCTTTGACGCTTAAGTCAGTGATTTATCACGATGGAAAAAAGGTAAGCTGGGAGAGACAACTATTCCATATCAGAATATTCAACCTAGGGTTTTGTGCTGTTATTACTGGGTCTAATGGGCTTTAGCCTTATTTTGGGTCTTAAGCTTTGGCTATGGTATAACAATTGTGGGCCTTAAGCCTTCGTTGTTATGGTATAACAATTGCCCTTAAGTAGAAGGGTGACTATAAAATGATCGCTCTTGTGCCTTCTAAATGTAACTTAGCTTCGAAGAAAAAGATTGCCCAATTCAGGAATAATTCTAATGACATAAATATTATCTTGTGACATACATGATCCTCAACCTATGGTCGCCCTTAGGCAAGCGTGATCTTGATTGTGGATCACCAATTTATGGTCACCATGATTTGACCTTGTGGGAAACTGATTTCGGATGTCTTCTTTAACCCCTTCCCTTTTTTTTTTTTTTTGTGGGAACATAACAAATGTGTCCCTTCCCTTGAGCGTGTAATCAGTTTCACTGCAAGTTATCAATTTATGTGTAGAAAACTTAAAGAACAATTGTCCTTATTTCTTTTTATTCTATCTAGAATGAAGGAGTACATCTAAATAAATAGGAACAGTGAAGTTCCCTATTAGGAAACAACTTACATGAAACAGAAAACAAAAATAATAAAAATAAGGAGAATTATTCTATTCTAAAATAGAAACAAATTCCTAAAAACTTGACAATCAGAATAGTGGACTAACTCAGAAGAATAAATGAGAAATATTCCCAAAATAAATTAGGAAATCAAGCTGCAGTAATGTAGGAGAATTAGATTTGCGCTAATGTAGGAGAATTAGATTTCTACATTATGCAGTGATAAGTATTGTGCATAAAGCTGTTTGGTCAGGGCATAATTATACTTTTTATACCATAACAGCTAAGGCCTAAGACCACAATTGCTATACTATAGCCAAGGCTTAAGATCTAGAATAAGGCTACACTTATGAGGTATAGTGGTAATATTTATATCATCAAGCGACTATGTATAAAAGGTCTAATATAGGGGCACAAACCCTTAAGTTGAATATTCTGATATTGAATAGCTCCCTCTCTCAGTTTATCTCCTCTTGATCTTGCTTGAATCACTGACTTGAGCGTCAGAGTGTGCCCCAGAGCCCGAACTTCAGCACCTTTTGACTGTTTCCTACTCTTTTGTAGGTCCTTATTATCCTAGCTAAACAACCTCTCCACATCGAGATCTAGAAGTCCCAAAAAACCATCAACAGATAGTATTGCTATTTTAACTAATTAAATTCAAAATGAGATTTTATATAATTATCTAAGATTCTTTTTCTATTTAGCCTCCGCCTGTGTGTTGTTGCACTACCAGTGCCAAGCCTGGATAAAGTGTAGAGGGTTGTGATAGGTTAATGGCCAGCGTAAAACATAATCAAACCATGATGAGAAACCAAAATAAGATTTTTCATTGGGTCATCGCCTCCCAGCAATGCACTACATAGGAGCCCAGGTGTAGTGTTAAATGAGCAAAGGTTGCTAGGTCGTCGCCCGGAAGCAACACGCCACATCATCACTCAGGTGTGGTCAAATAGGCAAAGTTTCTTGTGTTTTAATAGATGAACACAAGCTAATCCATGAGGGTAAGTTATGCTTAGCTACTTGGAATATAGGATCATTAACTGGTAAGCTAGTAGTGATAGGAAAGGTAATGGTGAAAAGAGAAATTAATATTATGTGTCTCGAAGAAATTAAGTGGGTAGGGGAAAAGGCTAGAGAGATAGAAACACGGGGCTTGAAACTTTGGCACATAGGTAAAGAAAGGAGTAGAAATGGAGTGAAGTGGAATTTTACATGTTAAACTTATATTAGGAGAGGAAATTGTTAACGTCATTAGTGCCTACTCTCCGCAAATAGGTTTGGATCAAGTAAGCAAAAGTTTTAGGAAGATTTGGACCAGGTAGTGCGAGCCATACCAAACGGAGAAAAGTTGTTTATTAGAGGAGACATGAATGGTCATGTAGGCAAGGATGGTAGTGACCTTGAGAGGGTACATGAAGGATATGGCTTTGGAGAAAGAAATAATATCGGAGATAATATTCTAGAGTTTGCTATTGCATTTGACCTAACTATATTAAATATGCGTTTTAGGAAAAGATAATCACATTTTGTGACTTTTAGAAGTGAGTCAAATGCTAGTTAAATTTATTTCTTTTTTACAAGGAAAGAGGATAGAAGTAGATGTAAGGATTGTAAGGTTATATTGAGTGAGAGTGTGACAACACAATATAAACTATTAATACTCAATATCTTTCATCTTAAGGGGTCAAAAGGGATATATCAGAGTCATTAACAATGTATTAAGTGTTGAAACTTGAAGGGGGACAAAATGTTAGCTTTTAGGGATAGACTAGTAAAAGAAGTTGATTGGAAGCTTGATGAGAATGTAGAAATAATATGGGAAAATATTACTACCAGAATTCAAAGGGGTTGTTAAAGAGACACTTGATGAATCTAGGGGTCGTGCGCCATTAGGAAAGGAATTTTGGTGGTGGAATGAGGATGTGAAAATGACAATAAAGCTAAGCATGAGTGCTATAAAAATTTAAGAAACAATAAGGATGAGGCAAGTTATTGGAAGTATAAAATAGTAAAAAAGGAAGTCAAAAAAGCTATTTGAGCTTCAAAGACTAGAATCCATGAGGAATTATCTAGAAACCTAGAGACAAGAGATGAAGAAAAAGAATTGTTCAAAATTGCTAAGATGAGCGATAAGAAAAGTAAGGATCTTAATGGTGTAAGATGCATCAAAGGTGGAGATGGAAAAGTTTTAATGAAGGATGAGGAGATTAAGAAGAGCTGGAGGGATTATTTTGATAATCTCTTTAATGGCCATTTTAAGCATGATATAGGTGGGCTTAACATACCTTTTAAGGATATAAATTGTGTATTTAAATGGAATATTAAAAGTATGAGGTTAAGGAGGTTTTGAGAAGGATGAAAGTAAAGAAAGTTGAGAACCAGATGGATTCCCGATTGAAGTTTGGAAATATTTGGGTGAAATAGGGATAGGATGGTCGACAGATCTTTTCAATAAAATTTGGCGTACTTAAAAAATGCCAGAAGAATGGAGAAAGAGTACTTTAGTGCCTTTATAAAAGAATAAATGTGATATACAAAATTGTTCGAACTATTGAGGAATAAAGCATGAGTCATACTATGAAACTTTAGGAAAGAGTAAATGAATGTAGGTTGCAACATGAGGTTACTATTTCTGAAAACCAATTTGGGTTTATGCCAGGATACTCGACAATAGAGGTAATCCACCTATTGAGCTTTTATTGAAAGGTTTTTAGGTGAGAAAGAAAGATCTACATATGGCATTTATCAACCTGGAGAAAGCATACGATAGCATTCCCCTATAGGTGTTTTGGTGGCCTTAATGAAGAAAGGAGTTCCTTTAAAGTACATTAGCATAGTTAAAGATATATATGAAGCAGATGTAACGGATGTAAGGACGGTTGGGGGCATGATTGATTGTTTTCCTATTACCTCAAGATCATATTAAGGCTTAGCACTAAGTCCATTTCTTTTTACATTAATTATGGACAAGCTCACTAGATAATCCAAGATAAGGTGCCATGGTGTATGTTATTTTCCAATGATATAGTCTTAGTTGCTGAAACTAGTGATGATCTTAATGCCAAATTAGAACTATGGAGGCATAAATTGGAGTTTAGAGGTTTTATATTGAGTAGATCTAAAACTGAATATATGGAATGGAATATAAGTTTAGCAATCATAAGGAAACGAGTGCTAAGTTGGATGGTGATGTAGTGCCAAAGAGTAGTCATTTTCGATATTTGGGATCAATTACTTAGAGCGATGTGGAGATAGGAAGGGATGTAAATCATAAGATTCAAGTAAGAGGGGTGAGGTGATGAAGTGCGTCGGGTGTGTTGTATGATCGCAACATGCCTTTAAAGTTAAAGATGAAGTTGTATAAAACAATTGGAAGGCCTACATTACTTACTATATGGAACTGAGTGTTGGGCTATTAAGAAATAACATGAGAAGAAATGAGTGTAGTTGATATGAGAATGCTTAGATGAATGTGTGGTAAGACTAAAAGAGGCAAAATAAAAAATGAAGAGACTTGAGGAACATTAAGGTTAGTCCAAATTAAGGAAAAGATGAGAGAGGGTCGTTTGAGATGGTTTGGATATATGAGACATAAGCCTATTTGTGCACCAGTTAAGAAAAATGAATTTCTAGATTTAGGAGAGACCAAAACTTCTATAAATAGACCACGAAGACACGGAATGCAAGTAACAAAAGATGATATGATGGTTAAGGAAGTAGATAAAAAGGTTGTTGTTGATAGAAATGAGTGGCACAAGAAGATTCAAAACTACAATCTAACATGATTCCCTTTTTTGGCCTTTTATACAGCCGACCTCAGAGTTATGGGATATAAGGCTTAGTTTGTTGTTGTATGCCATAAATCTTTTTCTTCATTATCTGGAATAAAATGTTGCTATGGTCAATGTTGATTTTCTTGTTATTTTCTATTTAGTGATCATCTTATGTAGTTATCAATAAAGATGAGTACATTCAGGATTGCTTGGTGTCACTTCTAAGTATTAAAGAACCCTGAGAACCTCATTGTTGGTTTAGTCTTTTGCTTAGGTAAAAGCTCATCTATGTATATAAACATTATAGCATACATGTTCACCTGTGCAGCACATGTAGCACGTAATAATGTTGTTTGTCTTTTTGAGTGAGAGTTTTCATCAGTGCAATGCCCCTAATAATGGAGGGGTCTATATGCTTTGATACCAGTTACAAAAGTAATAAGGAATGTGAGAAGGGATGTGAGAGAGATAGAGGGATAGAGGGATGTGATTACAAGGGTCGATGCCTATTCTTAGAAAAGCATCTCTATATATACACAAAAGCAATACTTTAGTTAATTACAAACTGTCGATGTAACCTTAGTTAGGTTAGAGCCTTATCTGCTGATGGTAAGCCTTGTCCATTGCTTTTTCTAGAAGAATTTGTTTTTGGCAAGCTGGTTTCTCCATTGCATTTTGGCAGGCTGGCAACTTTGACATTTTGTCGTTTTATCCTTCTTGAATGTTATCCAGATTTATAGCCTTTTCATGAGAAGTAGTTCTGGATTTATTCCATTGCTCCCACCCTTCTTGATACTGGAGTAATAAAGAAAGTGGGTGATCTAAATCTTATAATTTTTCCAGAAGCTCAACTGCCTGTGATTCAGATGGTTCTGATCTGTGGCCAATGTAGCTTTGTGTAACAAATTCTTTTGACGTCCGTTTTGGCGGTAATATTAGGACACCTGGGATGAGGATCTGAAGGTTGAGGCATTTCTTCCATCGGTGCTTCAGCCTTTGCCATCATGGTTAGATCCATTTGAAAATTATATAAACTTGCTCTATTGAATTGAAGAAGAGCAAATCTGAGATTATCTGGTGGTCTTTATTGACGGAATATAAATCTGGTCTATACAATAATTTTTTAAACTTACCAAATTTGATATGGCTGAACAAATTGTTCTCTATGAAAATGTCCAAGTAAACTTGTTAAAGTTATATGAACATATGACAAATAGTCATCATTTTTAACAAATTCAAAAATTTTTGATTTGATAAAGGTCGGAAAATTTTGTATCAAATGAAAAGATAAATTTTGCACTTTAATAATTCCAACAAATCCCATTTCGATACTGGTTATATCATATGGATCATGATGAAGTCTAAACTTGATTTTAGAAAAGCCTGTTGAGATACCCTTATTTTTTAAATATATAGAAGGAAAATATTCAGAAAATTTTTCACAAAGTAATTTTTGTACTTCAGGAAGGATAAAACGACAAAATGTCAAAGTTTGTCAGCCTGCCAAAAGAAGATTCTATCTCCCATAGGATTAAGTCAGCCTACCAAAAAGCAATGGACAAGTCAGCCTGCTAAAAGAAAATTCTCCTAGAAAAGCAATGGACAAGGCTTAATAAGGCTCTAACCCAACTAGAGTTACACCAATTGTTTGTAATTAATTACAGTATTACTTTTATATACATACAAGGAACAAACCCATTCAGACTCTAAACTTGGGCTAGAATAAAATATTTCAGAACAAATTGGCATCCAACAACGCCTGATTTGGGTGGTGAGAGAAAAGCTTCTGACAATAGTAAGGGGCCAGCAAATGGTACTAGTGACAGTGGCAGTGATAGTTATATTGACAGTTACAGCAGTGATAGTGGAAGTGACCGTGGAAGCCACATCAGGAGTAGGAGCAGGAGTGGAAGCCCAGCAGCAAGTGGGAGTGGTGGTAGCAGTGACAGTGAAAGTGACGCTTCTTCCAACAGCAAGGAAGGGTCTGACGAGGATGTGGATATAATGACAAGTGATGATGACAAAGAAACCAAGCAGGATTTACAGAACACGGAACCAGGACTTTTGACTTCGCCAATACCATGGCAAACTGAACAGAGCAGGTCTCTGCAGAATGGAATGGATGAAAACAAAGATGGTGATGGATCTGATGCAGTTGATATTGAAGGTAATGGATCTGATGCTGTTGGTGTTTAGGGTCATGGATCAGATGCTGTTGAAATTGAGGAGGACTTGCCTGAAGATGAACAGGAAATTGGAATGGCTGTCAATAATAACAAAGAAGTTGAGAAACCTGAGGAAGGAACAAAACCCTCTCCATCTGATAGTGAAGAACTCCAGGAGTGTCAAAATTTCATAGGAAATCTGTTTGATGATACAGAAAATATTGTTAAGCATAGCATCAGGCCTGAACAATCCAATAACTCTGAGAGGTTGCACAAAGCTAAATCCAAAAGAGGATGTGATCTGAAGCACTTTGATGAGAAGTCTGAACATTCTAAAAGATTGAAGTCTGAAAGCATTTCTCAACCACCTGTTTTTGGGAGTAGAGATGCCAATTTCTTTGGGAGTTTCACAAATTTTCTTCTATTAGACCCATAGACGAGCCTTACCAAAGCTCATCTATTCAAATGATGAATAAAGGTGACAGAGAAGAACGTGCTGATTTTGGCTCTCAAAAGGGATACAATCAGGTGTTTCCAAGAAAATCTAGTTCAGATTTTCATCAATCAGGTCGTAAGCCATCTGATCAAGGTGCTCGGGCTAAAGCTACTTATACTGCAGCAAGTTCTCTGAGAAGAATGTGCATATAATCCAATAGGATAACCCTTCTAGGGACCCTCAAAATGAGGATGGTTTAATGAAGGAAAAAAGTTTTCTGAGAAATCCTAATGAAGGTGGTGCTGGAGGTAAAAATGCTGTGCCCTCTGATAACCATCGCAGGAACACATGGTGAAACTGTTGCAAAGTTTAAGGATGCTGGACGAATTTCTAGCTCATATCTTAATTCTTCCCTGAAGGATAACAGCAGGGTTACTGCAGATAGATATCCAGCTAATGGGAAAAGCAATGTTCTCCAAAGAGAGATTTCACACTTGGAGTTAAGTGAGATTCGTGAGCTGCTGGTTGAGGAAACTCCAATAAAGAAGCAATTTGATAGAAAAAGTTCCTTTAAACAGTTGTGCAGTAGACCAAGCACCTCAGAGAACTTTAATACTAAACTAAGCAGAGGCAAAACTGTTGGTAAGACAATTGAGATTCAGGAAAGCCATGTCCACCCAATCTAAGTGGGCTTAAAAGAAACCCCAGAACAGCATGTTGAAAATTTAACAAGATCACATCATAGGGTTGTTCACTCTCATCTGCAAACTCTCTCTAGAGTAGACCATCCCGAAGTTTAATAAATTGGCAGATACTAGTAAAACTAGACACACTGAAACCGGTGAAAATTTGGGATTTGGCCTGGGGGATTATGGTGAAAGCCATAAGAAAGCACCAGCTAGTGCCCCACAACCACAGGAATCTAAACGAGGCTCAGTGTTGCAATTCATAAAGGAAAGTAAAATACCAAAATCAAATAAAATGATGGATTTGACTGATGTGCATAAGGGTTATGGTTTTGACAGAGGGCAATGAAAATGATCAAAAGAAAAGGGGGTCAGCTTCAGTTGAAGACTTGTCCTTATTAATGAAAAAGATGAGCCAGAGTACAGGGTACCAATCAAGGATTTATCTCAGGAAGTTCTTATTTTTGTGGATGTATGAGTTTCTTTTGAGGCTAAAGAGTATAAAAAGCCCCTGAACTATAATTAAAAAATCATCCAAGTCTTTATTTTTTTATTGCAATCAATCAACCCCCTCCAACATTTATTTGCATCCAATGAAGCCCTTATTTGGATCAAAACTTTAAGACCATTAACGTTTTTGCCAACTAAGATAAAATTCCATGTGGTATCAATAAAATAGTTGAAAGTTTGCCCCGTGACGCAATTAATATATGTGAAAATTAAATAACATAAACCTTTTTCTTTTTTTTTTTTTGTTTCTCTTTTCTTCTCTATTTTCTCTGTCCTTCTCTCTCTAAGATTCTTTTAAGGATTCAATTGACTATAGTTCGGAGATTAATTGATTAAATTTTGTCAAGTGACTTGATTTCGTCCATTTAAGGTTTCAATTGAGTCGAAATAGAAGATTAAGGGCTTGATTGATTTCAATAACATTTTAAGGGCTTAAATGATTATTGAATTATGGTTAAATGATTATTGAATTATGGTTCAAGGGTGTTTTTGGTCCTTTATTCTTCTTTTAAATTTTGGAGGATGTGTTGAATTTTAGAAGACTATGACATCTAATTCAAACTAACTATTTTTGAGTTTTTTTTAATGTTAGGTATGAAGAATATAAGAATGAGTTTCATGAAAAATATGAATCTTACAACGACTAGGACAAGACCCTACAGACCTATAGGTATTATTCACAATTACTTTGCTCATGTATGAGGTGTTACTACACTTTGTATTTGTGTTTTGACTTCTTTGATGAACTTCTATTTGGGATAACCTCTTACTTATAGGAATGACTTTGAAATGCTTTGTAAGGACATCGAATATTCAAAGGATAGGGACAAGGAGAAATATTATAAGACCTTGGAGCAATTGCTGGAGTCTTATCACCAGTGTGGAATGGTAGATATTTTCTCTCTAGTTTCTTTGGTATATCCTTTTTCTTGTTGAGGGTGGAATGCTTTAAGAAAGAACCTTCTGACGAATTTCTCTTACTAGTCTATCTGCATGATAATTTGAATTTTGGTTTATTATCAAGTTCATATACTGATGTCAATTTGGAATTAAGGTTCTGCCTACATGACCCTGACTTTCTTATTGTGATTTAATATAGTAAGATGATAAACAACCGAGAAACAAGCAGTCTTTTCTTATTTTAAGGGGGATGTTCAGATGATGAGAACAACAGAGTGATGGATAAGATCATTTACTACCAGAGCCAAATTACTTCATCATGTGATTGATTAGAAGAAGTTTGCATGTAATGATATTTGGATAACAAACAGAAAGTAATGTGGTGGCAGCACAAATGAACCCCAGGTCTCCAATAGTATCCGGTGCTTTGATCTTGTCTGAAAATTTCTATGTGGGGTTGAAAATTTTGTATCTGTTATATGCCTTATTGCCTGGCTTCAGAAATGTTCCCAGTGTTTACTTCTTAATGAAGTGAATCCATCTTCTTTTACTTTTAAAATTGAAAATTTTCCTTTAGGATTTAAGTCCTGACTTAAGTACCGTTTTAATATACAGGGACATAGAAGACTGAAGAAAATATTTGTTATGCTCCATAATGAGCTGAAGGTGATTGCTAGTATTATCTTTTAATCTCTCTTACTCCTTTCTTCTCTTACCTTATGAGTAGTAATATAATTCAGAGGTTCTTCCTTATCTCAGAACCTTAAGCAGAGGCTTACAGAGTACGCTCAGTCATATTCAATAGATTGATAGTGAATTATTCCAAACTTCTTATCCAACAGATTTGATCCTTTCTTTCATGCCTAAGGTGCAATCGGCGAAACCTATTTCTCCATTGCGGTGCAGGACAGCCATTATTGCAACAGTGATGTGTTGCTTGGCTTCTTTAAGAATAGAGCTCTTGTAAAATGGTTATAGATGGTTCAAGGTGATAGGAACACATCACATTCCGGTCCATGGTCCTTGAGGGATTGAAGGTATGATGTGCAATAGGCTCTACCCAAATTGGTTGTGTATAATGTGTAGAATTTTGGCTTTTGGGCCCAATTTTGTTCTGGAATTTTTTGACAGCCTGCTTTAATCTTGTTTGCAGCCAACAATTTACTTCAATGTGTATATACAAATGATTGAAAAAAAAAAAAAAAAGAGGCTCAGGCATTGTTTAGACTTCAGCATAATTTGAGTTTGATACAGTTTATCTCCAGCATCATGATGGCTCTTCTACAATAGCAGAAAGGCAGTTGAGGCTGTGACAGACCAATCCTGGTAAGTGCATATATATATATATATATATGACAGGCAATTTGAGGATGGCAGCAAGAAAGATACCGTGCAAGCAAGCAAAAAAGCAAGATGCCAAAATCTCTTTTGACTGCTGCAAAAACACATTTGAAATATCACCCCCTTTTGGTTGGTGCTTTTGTTTTTTAGGAGTTATGTGAACCAGGATTGATTTAGAAGTAGGATTTTCATTGTATACAGCAGCTTGTCCCAATGCCTTTAGTAGGGTTGACTCCGCAAACCCAATTCTGGTGCCTGTCTTAGGGGTGAGCAGGCGAATAGTATACTTCACAACCTCCAGCAGCGGTGACAAGTGCTTTAATCCAATCCATTTTCTTCTTTTTGCTTTTCCTCCCAGATTCCTTGGCAATGACCAGAAATGTTTTAAAAACTTTAGAAATGGTAAGGGTTGGGGCTTGAACATCACAGTTTGAGAATCCCGTATGGTCTCATGTTTACAGGAAGAAATTCCTTTGGAACATGTTTATACAGGAAGAAATTCTATGCCTCCCCTAAACTACTATTATATCTAAATAAGTCTTTATTTTTTGCATATTTTAAGACATGCAGACAATGATGTGATAAAAATATATCATGGCACAAAAAATGTAAAATGGAAAATTTTTAAACAAGGGTGGTTTAACAAAATATTTTAAAATGATATCATGACTATAAATAATTATTAAAAATAATATTAATATATAAAATTAATAAAAATTACTTTTATAACCTTAATATTCAATGAGGGTTAGCAAAAGATTATAAGTGATTGTCATATATACAAGTAAACAAAATATATGTACGTTTAGTTATATAATATGTACATAGCAGATCATAAAAGTAATTTTATTTTTTTATTAATTTTGCATATGGACATTTTTTCACTAATTATTTTTTATATGGTATTAAATAATAAATATTGTTTATGTACATATAGTTTTAATAAATATAACAAATAATAATTATTATTATTTATTAATAAAAAAGTCCATATAAAATTAATAAAAATGAAAATATTAATATATATAAATTAATATAAAATTAAAATTATTTATATTTATATAAAAATTAATAAAAAAGAAATTAAAATTTTTAATTAGACTATCTTTTTCGAAAATTTTATAGTTTTAGACATTTGTACATTTATTTCTCATATAATTCACATGTGCTAAAATATGTTAATGTATAAATGAATTTAAGGATAGAAAAGCTTAGATAAAAAAATAAAAGTTTCAAATGGCTGACATCAACCCTACTACTACTTAGCCGCAGTCAAGGCGAACGGACTAAATTGCAGATAATAGAAAGTTTGAGAGATGGATTGCAATTTAAATGAAAGCGAGAGGGAAGCTTTTGAAAATTACGCTTCTATGAAAAGTAAAACGCCATATTTACCCGGAAGCTTCTAAATGCATCATATTTTTGCCTTGCACACACACACTCTCTCTCTCTCTCTCTCTATATATATATATTTTAATTTTTCATAAGTAAAATTATTTAATTATTTTTTCATAAATTTTTTAATATTCAATTCTATAAATTTTATAATTATTCAAAATTTTATTTTTGAAATATTACATAACTTATAATTTTTCAAAAATCAATTTCAAAATTTTTTAAAAAAATTACAAAAGAATAATTTTATTAAAATTTTTTAAATTAACGTAGTGAAAAAATTATTATTAAAAAAATCATAAAATTTTAAATTAATAAAAATTAATTTTATTATTTTGATTTTAAAAAATAAATCCTTACGAGATTCTAATTAAATTAACAATAAAATAATAAATGTAATATTTTTATAAATTTGTAATTTATAATTGTCTTAATAAAACATTTTTTATCAATAATTAAAATTTTATAATAACTATAACTTAATTGAACTTTTTGAAAAAAAAATTCATTTACTTATTATAGTAGGATTTTCAATTAGCATATTAATTTTTGACAAAATTATATAATATTTATAAAATTTTTTGAATAAAATATTTAATAATATTACTTATACAATTTTAAGGATACAATTTCAGTTCTTATATATTAATCAAATCTAATAATTCTTTCATAACCCTTTATAACATTAAGAGATAAAATATTTTATTAGAGTCTTATAAGATTTTATTTTATTTTTAAATCAAAATAATAAATTTAAAATTTTTTTAATTTTAAAATTTATGATTTTTCTAATAATAATTTTTTTAATTACCAAATTTATAAAAAAATTTTAACAAATTTTTTATAATTTTTCTTAAAAATTTTAATTTTCTTTTTATTTAAATAAATTTTCCAAAAGTTATAAATTATATAACATTACATATATTATCTAAAAATTATAAAACTTATTTAATATGGATATCCAAAAATTTATGAAAAAAAATAATTAAATATTTCATTTATAAATTTTTTTTAAAAAAATTAAGATATAAAAAACAAAAATGATAATACATTTACCTAATTTCACACACTCTAAATATTAAATCTACCTGTTGTAGTATTAAATTAAATAAATAAATAATACTGAAAAAAAAAAGGGAAAAATTTCCCCTATCATCCTCTTTGTCTGCGTCGGTTTTCTTTTGTTTGTTTTTTCCCCCACTATATTATCTACTTTCACAAGAATATCAAATATTTTTATTTATTTATTTTAGTCCATCATCATATGTAGTCATGTACAGACCAGTAAAAGAATCAAGAAGGGCACGATCTCACTGTCAGTTTAGATATATATAGCCAAATTGTTAGAGAAAACAAGAAAGAGGACTCAGGACGAAAAAATAGTACCCAGTTTTTGAAGGGGCTGTAAAATTTGGCTCATTGGTTTTCGAAGTTGTTACCATTATGCAGAATTTCCAAGGTACTTTTATCTTTTTTCTCTTGATTTTAGCCTCTGGGTGTTCCTTAAACTTCGAAATTAGCTACTGGGTATGTTGAAAATTTTGAATTTATCACTCTTTTAGTTCTGGGTTTAGTGATTCTTTTTATCTGAACTGGTGGGTTTTGAATAATATGGTAATTTACTGACCTTCTGGTTTGGTATTGGTTTCAATTTTCAATTTTGAAGTGTTTATATTGTGACTTATATTCGGATAATGACGAAATTTAGAAGTAAAGAAGTTATTGTTTCTGAGAATTGAATTTACTGCTAGAGTATGCTTAGCCTATTCTTGGATTGTTTACTGGTTAGATTATGAAATAGATTGTGAAATAGATTGGACAGTGTGTAGATACTATAGTTTTGGGTTTTATGTGCAACAATGTGTAGACTGAGTTGATTTTTATGTTTGGCTAGTTGACCATGATTCTTTACCCTGATTTTTTGTAAGCTTGAAGGGAATTGCTAGTTTGAGTTCATGACAGCTTATCTATGCTTATGCTCTTATCTTTGTTAATGAAATTTATTACAACTTATTTAATGTGAATGTGACTATCTATAGTCATCTCTTATCTGACCATCCTAATAAAAATGTAGGCAATAGGAAAGATTTAATTTTGGATTTTGTGTTCTATGCTGTCTGGCATTCAACAAAATGTAAAACTTGAAGCAATTGATGCAATTATGGTGTGTTTGGAAGGAGGGGGAGTAGAAGAGAGTAGAGTGAGAAAGAGTAAAAGGATTACCCTACCATGCTTCGGAGTCTTTTTCTTTTTGTTCTTTAAATGGAGGAAGAGGGGTTTGTAGGTGAATCAAATCCCCTCAAAACCTCCCCTTTTATATTTCCTCAAACAGGGTGGATTTGGGAGTATGGTATTCCACTTTAATGATTTCAACTTGAGAACCCATTTTGGTCTCTTAAAATTTATTTTGGTAATGATCTTAAATCAGAACACATTGGTTATAATGCATAAACTCATTACTTTGATGTACTCAACTCTCCATGTCACTCTCAAATGAGGTGCTGGAGAGTAGCTTCCTTTACTCTGTCCTCTTCTTTTCCACCAGTTTACTCTACCCTCTTTTGCCTTCAAACATCCAAACTCAGTATGAGTGTTCTTCTGCTGTATGAGTGTTGAATGGAATATCTTAGTTTCATTTAGTTGGAGGAGAAATCCTAACTTTATTTTCTCTATAATCAGTTTGACTTTTATGCTGATTAATATGTTGAACACTTTTTCTCAAATATGCAGCATCTTATGTTGACAGAAAACCTAGCTCTTTAAGGTGTTGGGTGAGATTGTCATGCTGAATGTTGCTACCAGGTGGTGTTTTAGGGATGAATTCTACAATGAATGATATGAACTTGATTCAAGCACAAATGCATCTGGCCAGGGATCTTGGTGAGGAGATTGATTTGGAGATTGGACCTGGAGATGATGACCCTTCATTTGCCAACACTCATCTCATTAGTGGCCCACCACAAGAACCTTCTGCAGAAGAGCTGGATGAAACTAAGCAGATGGCAATAGTCTCTCAACTCCTTAATGATGATCAAGTGATGTCGAAAGCACAACCTGCAAAGAGGAAGAAGAAGGTTGTAAAAAGATGGAGAGAGGAATGGGCTGATACTTACAAGTGGGCATATGTTGATATGAAGGAAGGAACAGCATGGATATTCTGCTCTGTTTGTAAAGAATATGGTAGAAAGCATAGAAGGA